TGTATGATGTGTGAGTGAGTCAGTGCATGATGTGTGAGTGAGTCAGTGTATGATGTGTGAATGAGTCAGTGTATGATGTGTGAGAAATTCAGTGTATGATGTGTGAGTGAGTCAGTGCATGATGTGTGAGTGAGTCAGTGCATGATGTGAGTGAGTCAGTGCATGATGTGAGTGAGTCAGTGCATGATGTGTGAGTGAGTCAGTGCATGATGTGAGTGAGTCAGTGCATGATGTGTGAGAAAGTCAGTGCATGATGTGTGAGAAAGGCAGTGTATGATGTGTGAATGAGTCAGTGTATGATGTGTGAGTGAGTCAGTGCATGATGTGTGAGTGAGTCAGTGTATGATGTGTGAATGAGTCAGTGTATGATGTGTGAGAAAGTCAGTGTATGATGTGTGAGTGAGTCAGTGCATGATGTGTGAATGAGTCAGTGCATGATGTGAGTGAGTCAGTGCATGATGTGTGAGTGAGTCAGTGCATGATGTGAGTGAGTCAGTGCATGATGTGTGAGTGAGTCAGTGTATGATATGTGAGAAAGTCAGTGTATGATGTGTGAGTGAGTCAGTGTATGATGTGTGAGTGAGTCAGTGTATGATGTGTGAGTGAGTCAGTGCATGATGTGTGAGTGAGTCAGTGTATGATGTGTGAATGAGTCAGTGTATGATGTGTGAGTGAGTCAGTGTATGATGTGTGAGTGAGTCAGTGTATGATGTGTGAGTGAGTCAGTGTATGATGTGTGAATGAGTCAGTGTATGATGTGTGAGAAAGTCAGTGTATGATGTGTGAGTGAGTCAGTGCATGATGTGTGAGTGAGTCAGTGCATGATGTGAGTGAGTCAGTGCATGATGTGAGTGAGTCAGTGCATGATGTGTGAGTGAGTCAGTGCATGATGTGAGTGAGTCAGTGCATGATGTGTGAGAAAAGTCAGTGCATGATGTGTGAGAAAGTCAGTGTATGATGTGTGAATGAGTCAGTGTATGATGTGTGAGTGAGTCAGTGCATGATGTGTGAGTGAGTCAGTGTATGATGTGTGAATGAGTCAGTGCATGATGTGTGAGTGAGTCAGTGTATGATGTGTGAGTGAGTCAGTGTATGATGTGTGAGTGAGTCAGTGCATGATGTGTGAGTGAGTCAGTGTATGATGTGTGAATGAGTCAGTGTATGATGTGTGAGAAAGTCAGTGTATGATGTGTGAGTGAGTCAGTGCATGATGTGTGAGTGAGTCAGTGCATGATGTGAGTGAGTCAGTGCATGATGTGAGTGAGTCAGTGCATGATGTGTGAGTGAGTCAGTGCATGATGTGAGTGAGTCAGTGCATGATGTGTGAGAAAGTCAGCGCATGATGTGTGAGAAAGTCAGTGTATGATGTGTGAATGAGTCAGTGTATGATGTGTGAGTGAGTCAGTGCATGATGTGTGAGTGAGTCAGTGCATGATGTGAGTGAGTCAGTGCATGATGTGAGTGAGTCAGTGTATGATGTGTGAGTGAGTCAGTGCATGATGTGTGAGTGAGTCAGTGTATGATGTGTGAGTGAGTCAGTGTATGATGTGTGAGTGAGTCAGTGTATGATGTGTGAGTGAGTCAGTGTATGATGTGTGAGTGAGACAGTGTATGATGTATGAGTCAGTGTATGATGTGTGAGTGAGTCAGTGTATGATGTGTGAGTGAGTCAGTGTATGATGTGTGAGTGAGTCAGTGTATGATGTGTGAGTGAGTCAGTGCATGATGTGTGAGTGAGTCAGTGCATGATGTGAGTGAGTCAGTGCATGATGTGAGTGAGTCAGTGTATGATGTGTGAGTGAGTCAGTGCATGATGTGTGAGTGAGTCAGTGTATGATGTGTGAGTGAGTCAGTGTATGATGTGTGAGTGAGTCAGTGTATGATGTGTGAGTGAGTCAGTGTATGATGTGTGAGTGAGACAGTGTATGATGTATGAGTCAGTGTATGATGTGTGAGTGAGTCAGTGTATGATGTGTGAGTGAGTCAGTGCATGATGTGAGTGAGTCAGTGTATGATGTGTGAGTGAGTCAGTGTATGATGTGTGAGTGAGTCAGTGTCGGCTCCCTCTGCTCGCGCCGTCGCCCCCCCCGGGCTCTGTGGGCCCCCCCCCCGGCTCCATCGGCCCCCTCATGGCTCTGTCGCCCCCCCCCCCGGCCCCCCCAGCTCCCCCGGCTCCATCGGCTCCCTCCGTCGGCTCCCTCGGCCCCCTCACAAAGGGTCCACATTGTTACTGCCGCAGTGGCTAGGAGATGCCAACTACTTTGCCTGGTATGCAGGAGATCGTGGGTTCGATCCCGACCAGCCCCCTCCACTCCACATTTTAAAAACGTCGCGCATTCTACATTTGAACCTTATAGCGCATAATGTACGTGATGCAGTCATTTTTAGTCTGTTGATGGTCGGCGATGCGACAATCGACTCATCTTGACGAGCTGTACACGATGCACTATTCAAAGTTGAATTTGTCGATAATGAATTTTTTTATGCTGAAGTTTGGCATTTCAACATCGCGGAGTAGCACTGATTTAGGATTTCATAATAAAGGTTTTTGGGTAAGATCACATTATTTATAAATGTGTCGTAACCCTCCACCACCCGACACGGCCAATTAGCAAAAAAAAAGTGTCACGTTGACAAAAGACAAATAATTCACTACTTTAGCCCACCGGTGTGTTGAAGAGTGAATACACAACATTTACAGTTTGAGTACGACGTTTCGCTGGTAAATACATCCAGCATCATCGGGCAATTCGCCAGAATGGTAAAGCCCTCGCTTGCTCCCGGTCTTAAATAGAGCAGCAGGGTGACGTCATCATTTAACTCATATCAGGTGCAGTGATTTGAGGCGGAAGGGGGGGGTATTGTAATTATATAATCGATTAGTAATCAGTCAATGGTTATGATTAGTAATGAGTTGTAGATTAGTAATTAGTTGTAATGTGTTAGTGATTATATGCTATGTTAGTAATCTGTTAATTAGTATGTTTTTCCCCGATAAGGAATTGTAATGTGTATTCATATTCTTAGCTCCTTCGGCAAAGTCACGCTGAAGGGAAACAACAAAACAACAAATATATATTTTATTATTTTATTGCTTCCCCCCAACGCGACTCCACCGAAAGAGCCAAGAATATGAATTACTGCAGTCACGAAAGCTTTCAATCAAAATGTAATGTGTATTATTTAATAATACGCTTACAGGCCGCACTAAGCCTGTAGCTGTCAGAGCGATTAAAGTTATTTTTATTCCTCTCAATTTCTATGGATTCTCTAATTAGTCTTTGCCAGTAATAATTAGTTTTACACAACACTGCAACATTATCAAAATGAATTGAGTGTCCTTGTTGACAAGCATGTTCTGCCACTGCCGACAGTTGTGTTTGAGATAATTTAACATTTCTCTGATGTTCTTTTAGTCTTACGCTGATGTTACGTCCCGTCTGTCCAATATAGCATCTGCCACATAAACAATTAATCCAATATATACCTTCTGTTGATAATTTAGGTAATGCGTCTTTAGTGCAAGATACTAGTTTTTGAATTTTGTGTACTGTACCAAATCTTACTGTAATGTTTTGCTTTTGCAAAACACGGGCTAATTTGTCAGTTGCTCCTGAGATATATGGAATTTTTATTGTTTTAACAATCTGATCGCTTTCAGCAGTACTGCTTTGCGATCGTGATTTGGCATTCAGTGCTCTGTTAATTTGAGCATTATTGTAGCCATTCTGTCGTAGTGCATCTTTAACGTGTTTGATCTCTCTCACTAGACTCTCACCATCTGACACTGTTTTAGCCCGATGTATGAGCGTCTTGATAAGAGAGGATTTCTGAGCTGGATGATGATGTGAATCTGCATTCAAATAGGCATCAGTGCGCGTTTGCTTTCTGTAAATGCTGTGTGTTATTTTACCGCTTAGGCCATGTCCAAGAAAAATATCTAAGCATGGGAGTGTGTTATTCACCTCCATTTCCATGGTGAACTGGATGGCCGGGTTTTGTGCATTGAGATGATTTAGAAAATCATTAAGTGTATCTTTACCATGTGGCCAGACAACCAAAGTGTCATCCACATATCTAAACTAAAAGGATGGTTTTAATGTGATCGATGCAAGTGCTCTTATTTCAAAGTTTTACATGTACAAATTTGCTATAGCAGGGGATACAGGAGAGCCCATTGCTGCTACTTCCTTTTGTTTAAAGAAATCCCCTCTCCATAAGAAGTGTTATTTAAACAATGGTCAGCAAGTTTCGGAATATCTTTTGGTAAACCGGTATTCTATACTAGTGTATCAAGTAAATTAAGCGATTCGTTCACTGGAACCTTAGTGAATAGAGAAATCACATCAAAACTTACCAGAATATCATCAGGAGTAAGTTTAATATCTTTAATCACATTCACAAGATGTTCTGATTTTTTTATGAATGAAGATGTCCTACCGATGTAGGGCTGTATTTGTTTGGTTATATATTTTGCCAATTGATATGTGGCAGAGCCAATTGTACTGACTATGGGTCGTAATGGGATGCCGATTTTATGAATCTTTGGTAGCCCATAGAGTCTAGGTGGTTTTGAGGCCCTTGGCTTAATTTGGTATTGCTCATTTTTAGGGATTGAACACGAAATTTAACACTCTTCTGAAATTCGTGGTCCGCCAGGAAGTGTCTGTGTTGTTGGCCTGACTGGTTGTGCTTCACGTAATGTTTTTTCAGGTTTGCTGAATTCTCGTCTCTCATCTTTTTGTTGTATTTACCTCCGTGATTTGTTCTTGACACCTGATGAAGATCACTTGCGTTGTGATCGAAACGTCGTGATTGTTTTTTGTTTTAATATAATTTTATTGTATTTCTACATACGTGACTTTACCGAAAAAACGAATGAGTAATTTTATGCAGTCACGAAAGCTTTAATACTTTATTATCATCGTCGTTATTACTTTTAATTCAAATAATCGTTATTTTATCAATTTATTATTTTATTCTCATTCTACGTGACTTTACCGAAAGAACCAAAGAAGATGAGTCATTGCAGTCACGAAAGCTTTAAATCGAAGTTTATGTTATCTTTATACATTTTTTATTCATAATGTAACATAGTTTAGTTAATGAACAGGCACCTTAGTTAAGCTATGACGAGTCTACCCACACCCGTGGTTCCCCTAACCCCCTACAACCCATAGGCCCCCTCTAACTTTACCAACCGCGCATTTACCAAACCTCGAATAGGAGCCTCTCATCTCTAACAACGAGCGTCTAAGTAAGGCAACGGGCATATTGAGAGACTTTTACGCAGCACGGCCATTGCAGGGTACAGCTCTCGATCAAATTTTTCGTGAAATCGATGCAGCAGCGACATGGAGTCGGCGCTGTAGAATGACAAGACGCCCGCCTCCCAGTCCACGTGAACCCCGACTCTTTTGGGAGCATCTCGCACCAACAGTTTTGTTTCCATCCCGTTATGTACCGCCTTGTAGGCATTGCCCCATTTCTTAAGGCACCAAGAAACTTCATTACACCCAATTTTACAGGCTTCATCATCACCTTTCCGTGGTATCGCGTCATAAGTGACACCGATGATGAATTTCTCAGAACCTTTCACGTCCACCTCCCAGTAGTGACGACCCGATGAGAATTTCTCAGAGCAAATGACCACTCGGTAGTGGTCGAACCGGTCTGAGTTGCCAGGGTAAGGTTGGGTGTGTGTGGAAGTCCTGACGGTTTTAAAGTCGGCAGAAATCTGGAGGTTCCGATGTGCCGTATTTGGGTTCAGAGTCGGCGAGCAAGTGCCTGTAAACGATAACAATGCACATATTGTGTTAAGCGAACATTGTTTACTTTTGAGAAATACACTTTGCAATATGTCAGTAAGAAGTACAAACATTTGATGACAGTTATAGTGTGCTGGGCTGCACTTTACAAAGCTGATGTAGTCATTATCAGGGGTTCCTACGTTTCTGCACTACGTTTCTGCCCTAGGTTTCTGCCCTGACTATGAAATGCAAATCAATTAGAGCCCAATGTATCAACCGACTGACCCAATCTCAGTCTCAGTAAACTGTCCACCAAACTGTGAGATGGCTTCAGGGCACATCTGGTCATTACCAGTGGCGTCGCCTGTAATCCAGCACTTTGGTGGCGAGGGTTGGTGGATCACAGATTCGTGAATCTCCCTACGCAATGGCAACGACGTCACCACCTGCTGCCATGCCAGGGTATGGCAGTTCAGCAAGTGGATCCATCTTCATTTGGAATCCATCTATAGGGGGATTACGTGTTACCCACTTCATACATATTGTTTAGTGTTGATGTAACTCGCTGACTCCGTGTCCCTAGTGGACGACTGTGAAAAAGAGTTTGATAGCTCATCGGAGTCCTCATTCAGGATAAAGATTCTGATGCTCGTGGGTTTTTCTCCACGTACTCCAGTTTCCTGTCACAATGCATGAACGCGTTTTTGCTTAACGCGGCGCTTTTCAGCAACGCATCTAACCCACTAAACGATTACTTATTGCACCGTACAAAGGGTTCACATCTCATACGGATATCTTTATTTAAGTTGCATCAGCATTAGAGATGAGTGATAAAGATGATGCATTAATACACTCAGCAATGCACGTTGTGTGGCGTGTACAGTAAATCACTTACTCGACTCGCTCCTCATTTTCAGGAATGCCTCTTGCTTTTCACGATGTTCACGCAGAATCTCTCGGAGTTGCGGGCTCTCTTCCTGCTTGCTATCGAGACGGCTTATCATGGAGTCAACTCGTGCTGACTTACGGGGTATGGAATAGACTTTTGAGAGCTTGGATTGCGTGATAAGAGCCTGGATGAGCAACTCGCGATGTAGCATTGCAGGGATCCTACCGATCAACTCTCGTGCCACCGGAGGTTCCTCCGTCGTCGTTCTGAGCCATATATCTTTCCTGTCACCCTTCTCTGCATCGGTGTTGTTTGTGCGATGGTCTCTGCTGTTTGCAAAGTGATCGCAAATCTGAATGTCTTCTCTGCTCTCATCCACAGTCAGGTTCTTGAATGATTGAGCTGTTAAAATATTTGTAAGAATTGAGTTGTAAAATTGCAATTAACGCCTTCATCACGAGTATTATCATCATCATCATCATACATTATTTTAAGTCATTGCTGGGAGGTTTCCTCAAGCAATGGCATTTATTATGGTCCTGCGCTGACATTTCACTCTAACAATAAATTTTAACACGTTAACTGATATCACTCAATCTCCGTCTCTGTCATCAACAGCCATCAATGTGTCCACAACCATTCTTTGCTTTATACATTCTCTTTATATCTCCCAGATAATTTAGAACAGCCACCTCCTCCATCACTTTTCATAATCGTTTCTTTTTGAAATTTCTGTTTTCATCTTGAAGCATCTGTGATCCCGATTTATAGAATTAATTTGAAAAAATAAAAATCCAAAAATCAAGCCTCAATACGAAATTTCAAACAATTGTAAATTGTTGTCATTGTTGTTTGTTTCAGAATGAGACAATCTGCCTTGTTCGCTTGCTGGGCGGTGACACGAACACTGCCGCAGTGTTTCAGGAACCACCGCTGTGTTTGCGTTCTGCAGAAACACTGAGCTCGGAGATACCCTCGCACCCAGCTCCTCACTCTACTGCTATGACCTCGCGTCTACCTAACATTGATCGTGAATATTAAAGGTATTTAAAGTGAATGTCATGTTAATTTATGTTATATTATGTTACTGTGTAATGTACCATACACAGAAACATAGTTTAGTTAATAAACAGCCACCTTAGTTAAGCTATGACGAGTCTGACAACGCTATGGTTTCCCTACTGACCCACAACCCATAGGCCCCCTGTAACTTTACCAACCGCGAGGGTTTTCAGGAACCTGAACCCACGCGGTTGGCCAGGGAGTTACTCTACATACATACAGGGGTCGCATGGGAGACCACTCTGATAGGAGCCTCTCATCTCTAACGACGAGCGTCTAAGTAAGGCAACGGGCATATTGAGAGACTTTCACGCAGCACGGCCATTGCAGGGTACAGCTCTCGATCAAATCGTCCGTGAAATCGATGCAGCAGCGACATGGAGTCGGCGCTGTAGAATGACAAGACGCCCGCCTCCCAGTCCAGGTGAACCCCGACTCTTTTGGGAGCATCTCGCACCGACAGTTTTGTTTACGTCTTGTTATGTAGCACCCTGTAGGCGTTGCCCTGTTTCTTAAGGCTCCACGAAACTTCATTACACCCAATCTTACAGGATTTGTGTTCACCTTTCCGTGGTATTGAGCCATAGGTGACACCGATGTTGAATTTCTCAGAACCTCTCACGTCCATCTCCCAGTAGTGATGACCCAATGAGAATTTCTCAGAGCAAATGACCGGTTGGTAGAGGTCGAAGCTGTCTGAGTTGTCAGGGTAAGGTTGGGTGCGTGTGGAGGTCCTGACGGTTTTAAAGTCGGCAGAAATCTGGAGGTTCCGATGTGCCGTGTTTGGGTTCAGAGTCGGCGAGCAAGTGCCTGTAAACGATAATAATGCACATATTGTGTTAAGCGGACATTGTTTACTTTTAAGAAATATACTTTGCAATTGGCAATATATGTCGGTAAGAAGAACAAACATTTTTTGGGCTGCACTTCACACAGCTGATGTAGTCTTTATCAGGGGTTCCTAGTTCCTGCCCTGACCATGAAATGCAAATCAAATAGATCCCAATGTATCAACCGACTGACCTAATCTCACTCTCAGTAAACTGACCACCAAACTGTCTGATGGCTTCGGGACACGTCTGGTCGTTACCCGTGGCGTCGCCTGTAATTCAGCACTTTGTCAGGCGAGTGTTGGTGGATCACACAGATTCGTGATTCTCCCTACGCAAATGCGACGAAGTCGCCACCTGCTGCCCTGCCATGCCAGGGTATGGCAGTACAGCAAGTGGATTCATCTTCATCTGGAATCCATCTATACGGGGATTACGTGTTACCTGCTTCATACTTATCGTTTGGTGTTGATGTTACCCGCTGACTCCGTGTCCCTACCGGACATCTGTGAAAAAAAGTTTCATAGCTCAATCGGAGTCCTCATCCAGGATAATGATTCTGAGACTCGTGGGTTTTTTTTCCAGGTACTCCAGTTTACTGCCACAATGCATTAACGCATTTTCCCTTAACGCAGCGCTTTTCAGCAACGCATCTACCACGTTAAATGATGACTTATCGCACTGTACTAAAGGTTCATATCTCATACGGATATCTTTATTCATCGTACATCAGCATTAGAGTTGAGTGGCAAATATGTTGCATCAATACACTTAGCAATGCACGTTGTGTGGCGTGTACAGTAAATCACTTACTCGATTCTCTCCTCATTTTCAGGAATGCCTCTTGCTTTTCACAATGTTGATGCAGAATTCCTTTGAGTTGCGGGCTCTCTTCCTGCTTGCTATCGAGACGGCTGATGATGAAGTCAGCTCGTGCTGACGCGCGGGGTATCGAATAGACTTCTGAGAGCTCGGACTGCGTGATGAGACCCTGGACGAGCAACTCGCGATGTAGCATTGCAGGGATCCTACCAATCAACTCTCGTGCCACCGGAGGTTCCTCTGTCGTCGTTCTGAGCAATGCATCTTTGCTGTCACCCTTCTCTGCATCGGTGTTGTGTGTGCGATTAACTCCACCATTTGCAAAGTGATCACAAATCTGAATGTCTTCTCTGCTCTCATCGACAGTCAGGTTCTTGAATGATTGAGCTGTTAAAATATTTGTTAGAATGAACAAAACAAATTTGAGTTCTAAAATTGTAATTGTTTAATGCATTCGTCAGCATTGTTATCATCATCATACGTTATTTTTAAGTCATCGTTGGGAGGTCTCCCCAAGCCACTACCATTTATTGTGGCCCTGTTCTGACAATTAATTTCACTCCCACAATATATTTCTGCACTTTAAATGATATCACTCAATCTCCTTCTCTGCCACCAACAGCCACCACCGCTCTTATCAACGTGCCCACAAGCACTCTTTGCTTTGTACATTCTCTTTATATCTCGCGGTATAATTTAGAACAGCCACCTCCTCTCTCCCATTATGTACCTTTTGGATTTTTGCTTAATTTATGTTTTCATCATTCGGCATCTGTGCTCTCGATTTTTAGACTTAATTTTAAAAGGAGGAAAAACCGACAATAAAACCTGGATACGAAATTTCAGACAATTGGGTGTTGTTGTTGTAGTTGTTTGTTTCAGAATGAGACAATCTGCCTTCTTCGCGGTGACACGAACACTACCGCAGTGTTTCAGGAACCACCGCTGTTTGTGTTCTGCAAAAACACTGAGCTCGGAGATACCCTCGCTCTCAGCTCCACACTCTACTGCTATTACCTTGTGTCTAGACTCCCTCGCCTTCACTACCCCCGCTGCACACAGACATAGCAGGGTGAAGTAGGGCCAAATAACCTCCACGACCGACCCATAGGAAGTGGGTGGTCACTCACCCAGCAGTGGATTGACAAAGGGGATGTTCACGTGCTCTACTGCTGTGGCTCCATCGCCTGCATGCACAATATTTTTTTTCCTTCTGGGTATGAATATACTCCAAGTCAGTGTCAAGGATTCCCTATGCGTGACACGCCCTTGTACTCACCTTCGTAAATCGTGACTGAGCCCGACTTCATCTGCATAGCCGGACAGAGCGGCTCACTTGGAATGTCATCAAATGAGTGCAACAGCTCCATGGTGTTGGCGTTGTAAAACGAAAGTTTTCCTGCGTTAAAGTCCAAGCGAACGCCGACTCTCTCCAAAAGCTGAACATCTGTAATGGTTTTGCGTTGTTTGTCATGTGCTGCTTTGAAATTAAAATCCCATTGAACGAACGCCCAAGAGGAGTCGTTCCAGCCCAGCCTGCCAGACTTTTCTTGACAATTCCGAGGAATTGACCCACGTGCAACGCCTATGCAACAGTTTTCCGAGGCTCTCACGTCCACTTCCCAGTAGTGGTCACCCGACGTAAAGGTCTCAAAGCAGAGGACTATTTCCCACTGTTCAAACCTTTCTGCATGATCAGAGTAAGGCTGCTCTTCCTGGGTCCACGTCACTGTGCTGAGATCGGCAGAAACTTGAAGCTGTCGATGTGCCGAGTTGGGGTTCAGAGTGGGCGAGCACAAATCTGCAAGATAAGCAAATCATCGTGTAAATCTTTACAATCACGACACAGTTTTTTTGCTCGTTATCGTCAGCCATGATTAAGTTGTCGCCATGAGAGGCAAAGCTGCACCTGTAAATGTCTTGCCCATGGTACTGCTGGTGGAAGGATCTCAAATAGAAGCAGCTTCAGAACCCCCTCTTGAAGGTATTTGGCCCTCCCTTCCAAGCTGGTTACATTTGCCGCAGTGGCTAGGGGATGTTAACTACCTCGCCTGGTATGCATGAGGTCGTGCGTTCATACTGACCCTGACTCTTATTTTATATTTGGAGTCTGCGTCTCTCTCTCTCTCTCCCCGTGGTGATCTCGTGAATTTTGCTCCAGCTTCTCCGAGTTTTCCTCCACATTTATAATCAATATTACGCGTTTTGAGCATAAGGCTGCTATACATTTCCACATGATGATGATATCATCTACTTGGTTGATCAATCATTTGTGATGGCCAGCTCCCTTCTGAAAAAGAGCTACTCCATAGCAGCTCAGTGGAGCCTTACCCACTAAAATTAAAGTGTCGCTTAAAATGTGTTTTTTAATTCGTTTACTCTACTACCGGTGACCACTCATTGTGCTGTAGCCAGGGATATTGCCTCGTCGTGTACCAAACCTTTACACTGCAGCAGTATCGGAGCACGTGGTGCCGTGCCATGTTGCTTCAACATTGATTATTGGGCTCCCCGGAATGCAAGCAGACAATTTAGGAATACTACGCGTACTTTTTCCGAAATGCATTCAAACTATTGCGTTGTCTGAAGCTACATCGAACTGCAGATGTATGTCAATATACGCATAGAGCTACTGATGGTGCTTAAATCAGCTCGCGTGAGTGCAGGGTCGTGGGAGGTATTGGAGGCAGTGGATTGACCTTGGCTATGGATGATGATGATGATGATGATTTAAAGGGGATGAGTATGATATGTATCCAGTATCCACTGAGATCGGCCTAAATTAGTCGCAATTTCTTTTGGCCACTCCACCACTGCCCCTCCTGTGAAGGATTTCCCACTTGAGACGCTGGAACTGTGGGCCTGCGATGCTGAGACTTAGTGGACTAATTTCTCTGTTGAGATTACTTTTTTGTCGTTGTTGTTTGTCTCTCTTTAGTTTTGGTGACATTTATGTATTTGATTATTATTTAACTTTCTGAGGGTGTTCAGTTGCTCGGTAATTGCTATATATGAAAAATGATTTGTACAGCACGTTGGGATATAATTAGCATGAGTGTCGGTATATTAAATTAAATTATTATTACGAAGTGCTCCGCCCTGAAAAAAGTGAAAAAGGCTACGCGTATCGGATTGCAACGATGACGAGTGTGTAAAGTCTACGCACGGCTCGTCTTCAGCATATCCAGAAAATGCCGTTCTCTGCTCCGCTGTTGTTTGAGTATCTCCAGCAGCTTTCGGCGTTTGCCTTCCCCTCGTCTCATGACCGGAAACAGGATTGAGTCCTCGCGCTTGGCGGCGTCGGGAATTGTAAACGCCTTCCAGTACTCCTCTTCTGTAACCACATTCCTCCTCTTCAGCTCGTGCAGGAAAAGGGAGGGAGTTTTGCCGATCCACTCTCGCAACTCTGGCAACTCCCTCTCGACGTCCTTCCAGTTGCCTTCTCTGCCTTGCGCGATCATTTTACCGATGAAATCCTCTATGCTTTGCTAGAGTAAAGGCACGGCAAGTGAGTGAGCAACAATCGCCAGATCATCATCATCATCACGCACAACACGGCTGACCAATAGGGAGCCATCCCTCGACCGCACCGAGAGCATCGATCAGCCTCCCATTTTACCTTTACCAGATCGGAATTCCTCCGGTACAGCCATGGAATGCCCAGGTACGGAAAACCTCTCCACTCTCTCCAGAACTGATCTCCCCATAGAATGCTGGTTGCTTCCTCACACCCCCCTCATATATTTTTACATAAAAGCTACCACTCTACACCACCGTCAGAAAACACCTTCAAAGGTGGACACCGAGAATTCCGTCCCCACACCTAGACAACACTTCAAGCACCTAAAGGCGCCCTCCTCCCCTCCCACACGGTCTTTATGTCCCCCCCAGCTTCCTCCAGAAAACCATGGACCCGTTGTTTCGGGGCTTGCGCGCTTTCCACAATAATGAAAAACACAACAACAACAACAAGAGTGTGGGATAGACTTAGTAACGTAGAATGACTTACATTCACTTCATCATGAACGGAGATATTACTGCACAGTGAATTATATCTCAACAGCTGCAAGCATAGGAAGGGGGGGGGGGGGGGGGGGGAGTACATGATAACAAATACAACATTTCAACTTTTCATTTGCAATCAAGGCGCTTCATAATGAACATACATTCTACATGTAGCAGTAACCCCGTCTTGCTCGTCGGCAATATCACGTGAGCATTGATTCCGATCACAGACGGTCACCCGACTTCTCACTCGATTAAAATACTCAATTGCTGCCCCGGCCGCCCGTATCAACACATCAACTTTCATGAATAACGGAACAAAATAAACAGCCACGTCTCTCTCTCGCTGTCCTCCTCCTCCTCCTCCATTCTCGAGCCTTGTAACGTTTTGGTGAACGTTGATCTTACATTGATGCTGTGTGGTGTAGCTATGGCATACTTGTTTTTTTAATCGTGGCATAGCTCCATATATGCCGAGTGAACTTCGATTTAAAGCTTTCGTGACTGCAGGGATTCATATTCTTGGTTCTTTCGGTAAAGTCACCACGTAGAAGAGAAATAATAAAATAATGAAAATAAAACAATAAAATTCTCACGACGTTTCGATTGCAACACAAGCAATGATCATCAGGTGTGAAAACCACAGCACGAATTTTTTTTGAAAAAAGTGGCGTTTTTTTAACGTTAGCACCACGGGCAGCGACTAGCATTGTTCAGACGGACGACTCCATCTATGCTCGGAACGGAGGAGAGGGGAAAGAAGGAGAATGGAATGTGGTCTGAAAGTCACCGTAAACGTTAACACAATCAATCAAGACCCGAAATGGTTGATCACATCCTTCAAATGATTACTAAGCAAGAATCCATCTTCTCGGTTGAAATTGTGTCTGTGTTTGTATATGTGGATGGCCTCATGAACGAATCTCTCATGGTAGCCGGATGGCTTGCAGAGAACCTCCGTCTTGGAGAAGTCAATGTCATGTGAGCCCACTGAATTATAACAATGGTCTGCCACGGCTGAGGTGCTGGTCCTACCGTGTTTTAGGTCTGCTTTGTGTTCACGGATGCGGTCCAAGACATGTCGTTTGGTTTCTCCAATGTAACTGCTACCACAGAGGCAACTTAGTTTGTAAACGCCCGGGTACTGTATGTCTGGAATCACATCTTTTACAGATGGGACCAGATCACAGATATTACGTACTGTGTTGAATCGGACCTGGATCTTGTGTTTATTCAGGATTTTGGAGATATTTTTGTGACACCCGCAATGTAGGGTAAGGTGATGGTTTTGAATGGCTCCTCAAGAGGATCCCTCTTCATGGTAGGAGTGATGGCTTTGCGGATTGTGAAGTCGGAGTAACCATTAGCCTTGAGAGCTTGGTGTACGTGCTTGAATTCACTAGCAATGTGTTCCTGGTCGGATATGCATTGGGCTCTATGGTGTAGGGTCTTGATGAGGGAATTTTTCTGGGATGGATGGTGGTGGGAATCCGGTTTTTAGGTAAGCATCCATATGGGTAGCTTTCCTGTAGACAGAGTTGCTCTTTGAACCATCAAGTCTCGTTTTTATTAGGACATCCAAAAAAGGTAGCTTGCCATCTTTTTTGACTTCCATGGTAAATCTGATGGCTGGGTGTATGGAATTGATGTGGTCGAGGAATTGGTCTAGAGCAGGCCGGCCATGTGGCCAGATGACAAAAGTGTCATCCACGTACCTCTTCCATAAGGTCGGGCGTAGAGTGGTAGTCTGGATGGCGTCAGTCTCAAATTTCTCGACCACATAAATTCCAGAGCCTTGACCTCAGAGTCCTTAGAAAGAAGGCGATCCGAAGATCTGAGGGACCTCGTTGGAGAGTCAACGCGGACCGGTTGCTGCAGATTATAATGACGCGGTCTGCTGAGGTTCTCATTCAGCAGTGACACCAATAACAGGAGTGTGTTTTGGTCAAGTCACATAGACTTGGCGAGGTGGAATGACTTACATTCAAACGCTCTTCATCATTATTCAAAGCTATGTTCTCACTTGTAACAGGATTTCTTCCTGTATAAGAGAGAAAGATACATTATTATAAAACATTCTTATATTTTTATGCTTGATAATTATACGTTACATCATATAGACCTGTCGTGATTGGCTTATGTTGATGATGACGGTGATTATTATGTTATTCTCTTCTTCATATGGCTTAAAAGGTTAATTTGAAGTGTAATATCATACCGACTTAAGGAGGTTTGGTATTCTGGAAAATCGCCAGATGATGATTGTTGATGTAATTACCAGTGACACGTGACGGTACTTAAATTGTAAATGTTGCGGATTTACTCTACAACCCACTGGTGGGCTGAAGTAGTATACTGCACTATACATGACCCTAAACACTATCCTATACACTATACACTACACTAGACACTACACTATACACTACACTATACACTACTATATGCTACACTACTATACATTATACTAATATACACTACACCGTGATGATGATGAGAGAGACATGCAAACTCTAAATATACAGCAGCAGGCATCGTCAGGGTCAGGCGTAGAACCAACGACATCCTGCATACGAGGCGAGGGAGTCAACATCCTACTAGCCACCGCGACTTACCCCAGGGGAAGCGTTTGCGGTGGATTCTGTAGAGAAGGATGCCCACGGTCACCACAAGTAGAATGGTGATCACGACAGCACAGATGACAGCACCAATGAAAGTAGCAGTGATACGTCCAGCAACGTCTGAGGATCGTACACATATAGTATAGTAGTGTATAGTGTAGTGTATAGTCATGTAGTGTATAGTAGTGAAGTGTATAGTGTAGTGTGTGTGCGGTGTGTGTAGTGTATAGTGTAGTGTATAGTAGTGTGGTGTAGTGTATAATAGGGAAGTGTGTAATGTAGTGTGTAGCACCGATTACAGTAAAGCCGATAGCTTCAGCAATTTCTGAGGATGGTACACGTAAAGTAGAGTAGTGTATAGTGTAGTTTATAGTAGTGTATAGTGTAGTGTGTGTGTAGTCTAGTGTATAGTAGTGTAGTGTATAATTGTGTAGTGTATATCGTAAAGAACTGGGTATAGTGTATAATAGTGTAGTGTATAGTTGCGTGTGGTGTAAAGTAGTTTGGTGTATAGTAGTGTAGTGTCTCGTAGTGTAGTGTCTAGCAGCGTAGCGTAGTTGAATAGTTGTATAACGTAGTGTATAGTGCAGTGTATCGTGTAGTCTAATAAATATATAGGATTTGACGAAACAAAGTAAGTTGTAACTTAACGTGCCCCGTGTTTAATTTGTGTATTTCGATGATTCACCCAGGCTAAGAACCACCACTGGTTGCAATGAATTGTCACGGTGCGATTGCCATCAGTTTCTCCCTTGTGTCGCAACGAGGTCACGGGAGCCTTCGACACCTCACGTGGCCCCAAGAGTGCACCTAGCCTGGCACAGGCGCCGTGGGGACGTCATCGCCACTTAGCGGTGAGCGGCTGCTGTTGTTGTTGGTACATCGTGATAGATGGCAATGGATTGGGGGTAGGGGTATGGGTGGTTGGCCTTCACAATTACCACTTGCAACACGAAGGTTATTTGTTGTGTCCTGCTCTAAGACTGACAAACGCAACCGAGGATCAACGCTACAAATCGCAGAAAGTGTTTGACCCTTTCTGGTAATAAAATAGGAGTTGTGTCAAGATGCTAAAACACCAAACAAAAACCTTTTGCAAGGAATCAAGTAACTGGATTAACCACACACAGTACTTGTGGCGAGCATGCAAACAAAAACATGCTCTGGTATTATACTCATTGTCAGTGAAACTGATTGGTCAAAATGTTTTAACATCTTAACACACCTCCTGTTATGACTGCCAGAAAGATTAAAACCTCTTCGTAGATTTTGGTACTGGCAAGGGAGGTTCCATGATGCTCCAAATCGCATTGGCAAATGTGATATGTAACTTTGATCCTTGGCCACGCGTGCATCACCGATAGTTACATTCGAATGTGTAATTGTATCGAGGGTACTGGTGATGTGTTGGTGTGCTCTGGGACTGTTGTTGATGTCTTGGTGTGGTCTGGGACTGTTGTTGCTGTCTTAGTGTGGTCTGGGACTGTTGTTGATGTCTTGGTGTGATCTGGGACTGTTGTTGTTGTCTTGGTGTGGTCTGGGACTGTCCTCCTCTCGTGTGTTTGTGTGTTTTTTTCCTGTAACTCTCTCAATTCGTGCACCTCACCGGGACGTATGTGAACAAAGAGATTCGTAGCTCCTCGGATCCCTCCTCCTCCTGCAACCCCAACACTGCCATACACTGCACTACTATACACTACACTCCTATACAGTACACTATACACTACACTACTATATACTACACTACTATACACTACACTACACACTACAATACACTACACTATACGGACACTACACTACACACTATATACTAAACTATGCATGACACTATACCCACACTATACACTACACTACTATGCACTACGTGACTATACACTTTACACTGCACTTTACACTACACTATACACTACACTACTATGCTGCACTACTCTTATACATTACACTATACACTCCACTATACTCTACGCGACACTATACAATGACGGAAAAAAAGTATTTGATCCCCTGCTGATTTTGTACGTTTGCCCACTGACAAAGAAATGATCAGTCTATACTCTATAAGTTTAATGGTAGGTTTATTTGAACAGTGAGAGACAGAAGAACAACAAAAAATCCAGAAAAACGCATGTAAAAAATGTTATAAATTGATTTGCATTTTAATGAGGGAAATAAGTATTTGACCCCCTCTCAATCAGAAAGATTTCTGGCTCCTAGGTGTCTTTTATACACGTAACGACCTGAAATTAGGAGCACACTCTTAAAGGGAGTGCTCCTAATCTCAGCGTGTTACCTATATAAAAGACACCTGTCTACAGAAGCAATCAATCAATCAGATTCCAAACTCTCCACTATGGCCAAGACCAAAGAGCTCTCCAAGAATGTCAGGGACAAGATTGTAGACCTACACAAGGCTGGAATGGGCTACAAGACCATTGCCAAGCAGCTTGGTGAGAAGGTGACAACAGTTGGTTCGATTATTCGCGAATGGAAGAAACGCAAAAGAACTGTCAATCTCCCTCGGCCTGGGGCTCCATGCAAGATCTCACCTTGTGGAGTTGCAATGATCTTGAGAACGGTGAGGAATCAGCCCAGAACTACACGGGAGGATCTTGTCAATGATCTCAAGGCAGCTGGGACCATAGTCACCAAGAAAACAATTGGTAACACACTACGCCGTGAAGGACTGAAATCCTGCAGCGCCCGCAAGGTCCCTCTGCTCAAGAAAACACATATACATGCCTGTCTGAAGTTTGCCAATGAACATCTGAATGATTCAGAGGACAACTGGGTGAAAGTGTTGTGGTCAGATGAGACCAAAATTGAGCTCTTTGGCATCAACTCAACTCGCCATGTTTGGAGGAGGAGGAATGCTGCCTATGACCCCAAGAACACCATCCCCACCGTTAAACATGGAGGTGGAAACATTATGCTTTGGGGGTGTTTTCCTGCTAAGGGGACAGGACAACTTCACCGCATCAAAGGGACGATGGACGGGGCCATGTACTGTTACATCCTGGGTGAGAACCTCCTTCCCTCAGCCAGGGCATTGAAAATGGGTCGTGGATGGGTATTCCAGCATGACAATGACCCAAAACACACGGCCAAGGCAACAAAGGAGTGGCTCAAGAAGAAGCACGTTAAGGTCCTGGAGTGGCCAATCCAGTCTCCAGACCTTAATCGCATAGAAAATCTGTGGAGGTAGCTGAAGGATCGAGTTGCCAAACGTCAGCCTCGAAACCTTAATGACTTGGAGAAGATCTGCAAAGAGGAGTGGGACATAATCCCTCCTGAGATGTGTGCAAACCTGGTGGCCAACTACAAGAAACGTCTGACCTCTGTGATTGCCAACAACGGTTTTGCCACCAAGTACTAAGTCATGTTTTGCAGAGGGGTCAAATACTTATTTCCCTCATTAAAATGCAAATCAATTTATAACATTTTTACATGCATTTTTCTGGATTTTGTTGTTGTTATTCTGTCTCTCACTGTTCAAATAAACCTACCATTAAAATTATAGACTGATCATGTCTTTGTCAGTGGGCAAACGTACAAAATCAGCAGGGGATCAAATTATGTTTTCCCTCACTGTACACTACATTATATACTTCTCTTCACTATACACTACACTACTACACACGACACAACACAATACACTACGACAAACTACACTATATACTACACAACACTATACACTACAATATACACTACACCACTATCCACTATCCACTACACCACTATACACTACACTAATATGCACTACACTATACATTGCACTCTTTTACACAACAATATACCTTATACCACTATGCACTACACTACTATACACTATACTAAACACTACACTATACACTACACTGTACACTACACTTCTCTTCACAGTTGTCGTTCACCTTTCCCACGTAGCATTTCACAATCCCCGTGCGTGTCCCCCTTACCCTCCCCGACACGCCAGCGCCGATTGTGAGCGCCGTAGAGCCGCGGGGGTGCGGTCGACCGAACCTGCGTCTCCCTCCGCGTCCGTGCAGGGCTCCGATGGGGCAGTCCTCTGGAAGCCGTCTTTACAGCGACAGCGAGTGTCCTGCCTGGTGGTGCATCTGCTCTCGGTGTCCTCGGCTGTGGAACATCACCACCACCACCACCACAGCACGTGGGTAGTACGTTTGAGGAGCGTCTTCGCACGCAGCACAGCTGCTCGAGTACGCGGCCGTACGGAACGGAGTGATCTCGGACGCACAGTGAGTCGTCACTTCATGCGCGGTTATGGAGCGGAATGCCTTCGCAACATTACAACCTAGGCGGTGCAACGACCCAGTTTGCCTACAGAGCCAACAGGTCTGTGGACGATGCAGTTAACATGGCCCTCCACTTCACCCTACAGCATCTGGACGCCCCAGCATCCTACGCCAGGATCCTGTTTGTGGACTTCAGCTCTGCCTTCAACACCATCATCCCTGCTGCCCTACTTCAGGACAAGCTCTTCCAGCTGAACGTACCCGACTCCACCTGCAGGTGGATCACAGACTTCCTGTCTGACAGGAAGCAGTGCATTAAGCTGGGAACACAAGTCTCTGACTCCAGGTCCATCAGCACCGGAACTCCTCAGGGCTGCGTCCTTTCCCCTCTGCTCTTCTCCCTGTATACCAACAGCTGCACCTCCAATCATCTGTCCGTCAAACTATTGAAGTTTGCGGATGACACCACCCTCATTGGGCTGATCTCTGGTGGGGATGAGTCTGACTATAGGTGGGAAGCTGACAATCTGGTGACCTGGTGTGAACCAGAACAACTTAGAGCTAAATGCTCTAAAGACAGTTGAGATGGTTGTGGACTTCAGGAAGAATACAGTCCTACTCACCCCGATCACCCTGTTAGACTCCCCAGTCAAAATTGTTGAGTCCGTCCGCTTCCTGGGCACTATTCTCTCCCGGGACCTCAAGTGGGAATTGAACATCAGCTCCCTCACCAAGAAAGCTCAACAGAGGATGTACTTTCTACGGCAGCTGAAGAAATTCAACCTGCCAAAGACAATGGTGGTGCAATTCTATACAGCGATCATTGAATCCATCCTCACCTCCTCCATAACCGTCTGGTACGCTGCTGCCACTGCCAAGGACAAGAGCAGACTGCAGCGTATCATCCACACTGCTGAGAAGGTAATTGCCTGCAATCTACCAACCCTCGAGGACCTGCACACGACAAGGCCCATGAGGCGAGCGAGGAAGATTATGGCCGATTTCTCCCACCCTGGACACTCTCTGTTTCAGCTACTCCCCTCCGGCAGAAGGCTTCGGTCCATCAGGACCAAAACCTCACGCCATAAAAACAGTTTCTTCCCATCTGCTGCTGGCCTGTTAAACAAGGCCAAGGGCTAACACTGTTTTTAACATTTGATCTACATAACGACACCTTGCCGATATTAACTTTGTTACCCAATTTGTATTTTTTTTTAAATTATATCTTAAAGCTATTTTATATTCGATATTTATTTAATTTTATATACTTCAGCCCCTTGGTGTTAGACTTTTAACCCTTATTATAGTAAGACTTGTTTAAAACTTATTTAAGATTTTAGATTCCTATATGTTGAATGTATGCACCATCCTGCCAAAGTAAATTCCGTGTCGGTGTGAACTTACATGGCGAATAAAACCCTTTCTGATTCTGATTCTGATGTGGAGTGACGCGGTGATGCGGGAGCGACGCGGGGCAACGCGTGGTGACGCATGATTCTGAATATGGATGGAAAAACCGGAGGACATCCTTGCGACCATGGAGAGGGAGAACGAGAGACGCCAAACTCCAAATATACAGCAGCAAGCATCGTCAGGGTCGGGATCAAATCCAGGACCTCCTGTATACCGGGCGAGGTAGTCAACATCTCCCCCGCCTCAGTGGCGACCACAGTGGCGAGAATTGACTTCGTATCGCAAGCGGTGCATGAATCACGCAAGCCCCTTGATTCCTCCAAACCCGTCCCCTCCTTTTTGTGAACAGGTTCACGTCGTGTCTACAAACAACCACCCACCCCTCTTACAATTCACGTTGCAAACGGTGCACTTCTTGCACTCGTTGGAGCTGTTCGGTTCATCCGTGTAGCCTTGTCCCACGCGGCAAGCCGTGCAAAACGTGCCGCTCGTGTTGGATTCGCAATCCATCACCTTCTTGCTACCTGCAAGGTGGCAGCAGGCGGGGTTGGTGGGAGGTAAAAAGATTTACCGACTGAATGAGAATACAAATCAAAAGGTTTTGGTGTTTGTTGTCCTTCTCCGCCTTGCTGTGTTCCAGACTCGTGAACCGTTCCACTTAGGAACGGGTCTCAGGAACGAATTAGATTCGTAACCCGAGGACAGCCAGTCCACTCCGATACACTGGACACTACAGTGTAGACTACAGTATTAGTTTCAAAACTAATTTCTTTAGAGCTGCTGTTTGTTATTGTTTAGTTTGTTGTCCGCTCCGCCCGCACCTCAGATTACATAAATAGTTTAGTTTGTTGTGCCAAGAAAAATGGATACATGTAGGTGCAATGACCGAAGCAACAGAGCACTTACCTGACACAAGCGTGTACGTGTGGACGGACAGTCAGGAATGTCTCCGATTGCTGCAGGGATGCCTCAGAGACCATTGGTCAGGAGAGGAAATTCAAACGGGTTGAAGGAGATATTGAAAGAGGATTGAAGGAGAGATTCAAAAGGGATTTAATTTTAGCCTCCAGTTTGCTCCACTCGTTGTATTTATCCACTCATTTGAGTGTTTTCCTTCAACATTTTTTTCAATATTTCCCAACCGCGTGCTCAATTAAGGTGAAGAATTAACTCGAATCTGGTAACTCTTATCTATGAAATTCACTATTTAATCATCCAGATTGAAACGTAATTTCGTTTAAAAGTGCTGCTTGTTTTTGCTGTTTTTGTTGTTGTGTTCAGTGTTGTTGTCCTTCCTACCACACCTCCGATTAGTCACGGTTGGCTAAATGCGGTTTCAATGGTGGTATTTGTGTCAGGCCTTTCGTTCTGTGCGCGTTACCTGCTTGGCAGAGCTCACAACAGATGCCACTGCTTGACAAGTAGTGCGTCGTTTCATTACATCCGCCTTTCATAACCTGCGGGGAAAATAGAACATTCAAGACCAGGAAAAGTTAACAACCAAAGTAATTTATGTTACCAGGTGTAACGAGGCCCCACTGAGCTGCTGTGTTCAGAAGCGACGCTGGCCATCACAAATGCTGATCGCAGCTCAACCAAGTGGCTGAAGTCATCATAAAAAATACCACTCTGAGCACACGTCCGTAAACATGTTCTCAAAATGCACCATTTAAAATAAAATTGCGTCTATTTCAAATTCCTAAGATCAGAAAAATTCACAAAAATGCACAACGAAAAATAAGGAAGTGGTGAATCTGTAGTGTGATTCATAGATACCTATAGAGATACGTAGAGACTCATAAACTAAATAAATGTATTTATTTAACAAAGGTGTAAGGCCGCCACCACTGAGCTGCTAAGTTTGTTCAGAAGAGATCCCTGGCCACCACACCCAATGATAGCAGCTGAACCAAGTGGCTGATGTCATCGTCACTTAGGATTCATAGCAGCAAACAAAGACTCTGAACGCGTGGTGATGTTCATTCTAAATGTGGGAGAGAAAAACCAGAAAACTCCGGAAAAAAATCCACGTGACCACGGGTAGAGAGACGCAGATTTTAAATATACAGCAGCAGGCGTCAGGGTCTGGGATCAAACCCAAGCCCTCCTGCATACCCAGCAAGGTAGTTAGCATCTCCTAGCCACCGTGATGTCAGGGCCGGGATCGAAGCCACGAGCTCCTGCGTATCAGGCGAGGTTGTTAACATCTCCTAGCCACCGTGGTGGTGATGATGATGAGAGGGAGATGCAGTCTCCAAATACACAGCAGCCGCAGCAGGCGTTGTCAGGATCGAGATCGAAACCACGACCTCCTGAATACCCAGCGAGGTAGTCAACATCTCCCTATGCACCAAGGGGATGCCCAAATGCTCAGCGTCCTCGCCCACCGTGAATTCGTCCATCAACAGCGGCCGCTTTGGGTGGGGGACAAACCGCAGACCTCCCAGCCACACTCCGCACGCTCAGCTTCACGTTATTCGTTCTGCCATCGCCCCTGCCATCGAGTTACAGGACGAGGATCTGCAACCCGGGGGCTGAGGGGTTCCCCAAGGTCGACCCAAAGGTGGCCGGGGACCCGTGCTGTTGACCACCCCCACACCCTTTCCTTTGTGTGCCGCAGCTTCCCAGTAGCCTTCATAGGTGCTGCTACTCGCTAACAGCCCTGCGGTCTGTTAATGTTTCACGGGGTTCTTTGCCTTTGTGTGCCGCGTGTTACCAACCTGGCGACCAAAGTTTGATTCCCGCACACGGTCAAAACCAGAGACAGCAATTATCTGACCCTGACGTGGGGCACCCCTAGGTCGACTCAGCCTCAAATTGGGGATTCTTTGCTTTTGAAGGATGTATTTGTGTGTGCGTGTGTGTGTTACAGAGGGCACAGACGTGACGCTCACAACAACGAGCGGAGCGCCGGGCGGATTAAATGCTGCAGGTTGGCACAGTGGGGGGTACAGCTGGTGGTGCATCTACCAGTCATCTCAGCGAACCCATGGCTTAGAGATTCTGGGGGGCATTTGATGAGCCCTAAAATATTCCTGGTGGCGACACGTTTCTGTTTGCACCTTACCTCTCGTAGCCCTTTGCTGATCGTCGCACTTTCAGAGGGAAGTATCTGCAGACGACAGGAAACGTTAAAAGAAAACTCTGGGCACGTGTCCATCAACAAGCTCTCAAAGTGCGCCATTTAAACTAAAACTGCGTCTATTTCAAATTCCAAAGAAAAACAAATAGGACAAAAATGCACAACAGTAAATAAGGAAGCGGAAAATCCGTGGAGAGATCCATAGAGACCTATAGACATACTTAGAAACTCATAAACTAAACTGAACCATGTATTTGTTTAACCAAATGAAAGGTCCCACCACGGAGCCCGGGCTACCACACCCAATGATAGCAGCTCAACCAAGTGGGCTGGTATCATCATGAGCATTATCACCACGTAGACATTTACAGCATCAGCCAAATACTCTAAACGAGTGGAGGCGTCAATTCTAAATGTGGAGGGAAAAAATGGAGGACCTGGAAACAAAATCCACACGACCTTAGGGAGAAAGACGCATACTCCAGATATACAGCAGGTGACACAGGGTCGGGATTGAACCTACGACTTCCTGCATACGAGGCGAGGGAGTTAACATCTCCTTGCCATCGTGATGATGATGATGATGAGAGAGAGACGCAGACTCCAGATATACAGCAGGTGACACAGGGTCGGGATCGAACTCACGCGACCTCCTACATACCATGCGAGGTAGTTAACATATCCTACCCACAGTGATACATAGAGACCCATAGAGATACATAGAGACTCAAAGAGATACATACAGACCCACAGAGAGATACCTGTAGCGGCATATAGAGGCCCACAGACTAAACGAAAACTTGTTTTTATTTTCTAGATGAGGCGCATCTTAAGCGAGCGGCACAGGTACAGCATTGGCCTTTAGATCAACCACGTACATCAATCACTTTGCTCCTGTGCAGTTTGGGGAACGAGGGGGTGGGGGAGCTTATAGACAAGTGCAGCAAAAAGCGATTTCCATGTCGAGGGAGGGAGGAATGTGATGAGCTATGAAGCGCTTTGGCACAGCTGTCCAGCAGTGTGGCACGGGGCTCAACAAGTTACAACAACACACAACACACACACAATACACACACACACACACAATACACACAACACTACACACACGCAATACACTGACAATACACACAATTCACTCAAACACTACACACACACAATACACACACAATACACTACACACACACAACACACATAATACACACACAATACACTCACAATACACTACACACACACAACACACACACAATACACTCACAATACGCTAAACACACAACACACACAATACACTCACACTACACACACACTACACACAAAAACACACACAATACACACACAAGACACACACACTACACACACACTACACACAATACACACACTACACACTCACACACACTATACACACTCACACACACTATACACACACTCATAACACACACACACAACACACACACACACAATACACTCACAACACACACACTACACACACATACTACACACACACACTACACACGCAATACACACACACAATACACTCACACACACTATACACACACACTCACAACACACACTACACACACACTACACACACAATACACACACTACACTCACACACACTATACACACTCACACACACTATACACACACTCACAACACACACACAACACACACACACAATACACTCACAACACACACATTACACACACATACTACACACACACACTACACACGCAATACACACACTATACACACACATACTCACAACACACACTACACACACACTACACACACAATATACACACTACACACTCACACACACTATACACACTCACACACACACACAATACACTCATAACACACAGACATTACACACACATACTACACACACACACTACACACACAATACACTCACACACACTATACACACACACTCACAACACACACACACTACACACACACAATACACACACACAATACACACACACACTACACACAGACACAATACACTAACAACACACAATACACACACACAATACACACTACACACAATACACACCGATAGGAATGCAAATTATGAAACAAGGTAATCATGCCACTAGACATAAATATAAATAAAGTATTAAAGCTCTCGGTTATCTGAATGCAGTTCTACGCGAGTTTTTGACGAAATTAATAACTCGTGGATTTTTCCCTTCAGCCCAAATGTGTAATCTAATAACAGTTATACACTTTTATATGTTGGAAATGTTTATTTATAGGTCACAAGCTGCTTAATCCCGAACAAATGTGTTGCTTCAGTTAATCTGAATCCGCGTGATCCCCTCTACAGTACAGTAGTTGCAATATATTTACACACGGGGGGGGGCGGCTGAGTTTGGTTGATGTTGATTGGCTGTGGCTCTGCTATCATCCACTTAGTGAGCTGATTTTGATTGATGTTGATTGGCTGTGGCTCTGCTATCATCCACTTAGTGGGCTGAGTTTGAGTGATGCTGATTGGCTGTGGCTCTGCTATCATCCACTTAGTGGGCTGAGTTTGAGTGATGCTGATTGGCTGTGGCTCTGCTATCATGCACTTAGTGAGCTGAGTTTGGTTGATGTTGATTGGCTGTGGCTCTGCTTTAATCAACTTAGTGAGCTGAGTTTGGATGATGCTGATTGGCTGTGGCTCTGCTATCATCCATTTACTGGGGCTGAATTTGAGTGATGTTGATTGGCTGTGGCTCTGCTATCATCCACTTAGTGAGCTGATTTTGATTGATGTTGATTGGCTGTGGCTCTGCTATCATCCACTTAGTGAGCTGATTTTGATTGATGTTGATTGGCTGTGGCTCTGCTATCATCCACTTAGTGGGCTGAGTTTGAGTGATGCTGATTGGCTGTGGCTCTGCTATCATGCACTTAGTGAGCTGAGTTTGGTTGATGTTGATTGGCTGTGGCTCTGCTTTAATCAACTTAGTGAGCTGAGTTTGGATGATGCTGATTGGCTGTGGCTCTGCTATCATCCACTTAGTGGGGCTGAATTTGAGTGATGTTGATTGGCTGTGGCTCTGCTATCATCCACTTGGGGTCCGAAACTTCTGCTGGGAGGGTGCCAGGAAAGTGATATTATCACTGAGCACGCGCATCATCCCTCGGTCGAACATTCTCAGTCGAAAGAGTAACAAGTGAAATCGTCATCAGTTGTGCATCACTGTGATCGACTTATCCGATCATACAATTGGTGAGTGTAAATGTTTGCAAACTTTGCCGTGACAGAGAAACTTAAACACAATGTTTAACCCTAAATTAGTTCGTTTTTGACATAGACATCCGGGGAAAATTCCCTCAAATTAACGAGAGTCTACTGGACATGAATTTGTGATGGTTAAAATTCAACCATGGTGCAAGGCAACACAACAAAAGTCGCAGTCCACACCAAGAAAACAACAACAGTCCCAGACCTCACCAAGACAACAACAACAACAGTCCCAGACCACACCAAGACAACAACAACAACAGTCCCAGACCACACCAAGACAACAACAACAACAGTCCCAGACCTCACCAAAACAACAACAACAGTCCCAGACCACACCAAGACAACAACAACAACAGTCCCAGACCACACCAAGGCAACAACAACAGTCTCAGACCACACCAAGACAACAACAACAACAGTCCCAGACCACACCAAGACAACAACAACAACAGTCCCAGACCACACCAAGACAACAACAACAACAGTCCCAGACCACACCAAGACAACAACAACAACAGTCCCAGACCACACCAAGGCAACAACAACAGTCTCAGACCACACCAAGACAACAACAACAACAGTCCCAGACCACACCAAGACAACAACAACAACAGTCCTAGACCACATCAAGACAACAACAACAACAACAACAGTCCCAGACCACACCAAGACAACAACAACAACAGTCCCAGACCTCACCAAGACAACAACAACAGTCCCAGACCACACCAAGACAACAACAACAGTCCCAGACCACACCAACACAACAACAACAACAGTCCCAGACCACACCAAGACAACAACAGTCCCAGACCACACCAAGACAACAACAACAACAACAGTCCCAGACCACACCAAGACAACAACAACAGTCCCAGACCACACCAAGACAACAACAACAACAACAACAGTCCCAGACCACACCAAGACAACAACAACAGTCCCAGAACACACCAAGACAACAACAACAGTCCCAGACCACACCAAGGCAACAACAACAACAGTCTCAGACCACACCAAGACAACAACAACAACAGTCCCAGACCACACCAACACAACAACAACAGTCCCAGACCACACCAAGACAACAACAACAGTCCTAGACCACACCAAGACAACAACAACAACAACAACAGTCCCAGACCACACCAAGACAACAACAACAACAACAGTCCCAGACCTCACCAAGACAACAACAACAGTCCCAGACCACACCAAGACAACAACAGCAGTCCCAGACCACACCAACACAACAACAGTCCCAGACCACACCAAGACAACAACAACAGTCCCAGACCACACCAAGACAACAACAACAACAGTCCCAGACCACACCAAGACAACAACAACAGTCCCAGACCACACCAAGACAACAACAACAACAGTCCCAGACCACACCAAGACAACAACAACAGTCCCAGACCACACCAAGACAACAACAACAACAACAGTCCCAGACCACACCAAGACAACAACAATAACAGTCCCAGACCACACCAAGACAACAACAACAACAGTCCCAGACCACACCAAGACAACAACAACAACAACAACAACAGTCCCAGACCACACCAAGACAACAACAACAGTCCCAGACCACACCAAGACAACAACAACAACAACAGTCCCAGACCACACCAAGACAACAACAATAACAGTCCCAGACCACACCAAGACAACAACAACAACAGTCCCAGACCACACCAAGACAACAACAACAGTCCCAGACCACACCAAGACAACAACAACAGTCCCAGACCACACCAAGACAACAACAACAACAACAACAACAGTCCCAGACCACACCAAGACAACAACAGTCCCAGACCACACCAAGACAACAACAACAGTCCCAGACCACACCAAGACAACAACAACAACAACAACAACAGTCCCAGACCATACCAAGACAACAACAACAGTCCCAGACCACACCAAGACAACAACAACAACAGTCCTAGACCTCACCAAGACAACAACAACAGTCCCAGACCACACCAAGACAACAACAACAACAGTCCCAGACCACACCAAGACAACAACAACAGTCCCAGACCACACCAAGACAACAACAACAGTCCCAGACCACACCAAGACAACAACAACAGTCCCAGACCACACCAAGACAACAACAACAACAGTCCCAGACCACACCAAGACAACAACAACAGCCCCAGACCACACCAAGACAACAACAACAGTCCAGGACCTCACCAGGCGTCCTCTGGTTTGCGAAGGCGCCGTGCGTAAGTTCACTCACCAGCGTCGCGAACAATCGCAGGGCGATGAAACAAGACGGAAGATTCATTTTTGACGCCAGCCAGCCGTCGGTGAATTTCCTTCTTCGCTGTCGGTCGCTCCAAGCCCCTCTGAGACACCTCCCTCGTGTGGTCGCTTAAGTGTCGCCGACGACTGAAGAGAGAGCTGAAAGAACGACGGCTGTGGCCACGTGGTCGCGTCGTCGGAGACCTTTACAATGGAAGGGAGTGTGTCTAGGCGATGCGTGATCACACAAAGACACGAGAGAGATAGAGAGACACCGAGATCGCGGTGTTTGCTAGGCACCGCATTGTCTTGCTAAACCATACAATTTGTAGTTGGCAGCTTGACTGGTTTGGCAATAACCTAGCTTGCTGAAACGCGGCTTGACAGCCCGTGTCTCACACACAGCCCGTGTCTCACACACAGCCCGTGTCTCACACACAGCCCGTGTCTCACACACAGTCAGTGTCACACACACAGTCAGTGTCTCACACACAGCCCGTGTCTCACACACAGCCCGTGTCTCACACACAGCCCGTGTCTCACACACAGCCCGTGTCTCACACACAGTCAGTGTCTCACACACAGTCAGTGTCTCACACAGCCTGTGTCTCACACACAGCCCGTGTCTCACACACAGCCCGTGTCTCACACACAGTGTCTCACACACAGCCCGTGTCTCACACACAGTGTCTCACACACAGTCAGTGTCTCACACACAGTGTCTCACACACAGCCCGTGTCTCACACACAGTCCGTGTCTCACACACAGCCCGTGTCTCACACACAGTCAGTGTCTCACACACAGTCAGTGTCTCACACACAGCCTGTGTCTCACACAGCCTGTGTCTCACACACAGCCCGTGTCTCACACACAGTCAGTGTCTCACACACAGCTCGTGTCTCACACACAGCCCGTGTCTCACACACAGTCAGTTGCTCACACACAACCCGTGTCTCACACACAGCCCGTGTCTCACACACAGTCAGTGTCTCACACACAGTCAGTGTCTCACACACAGCCTGTGTCTCACACAGCCTGTGTCTCACACACAGCCCGTGTCTCACACACAGCCCGTGTCTCACACACAGTCAGTGTCTCACACACAGCTCGTGTCTCACACACAGCCCGTGTCTCACACACAGCCCGTGTCTCACACACAGTCAGTTGCTCACACACAACCCGTGTCTCACACACAGCCCGTGTCTCACACACAGTCAGTGTCTCACACACAGTCAGTGTCTCACACAGCCTGTGTCTCACACACAGCCCGTGTCTCACACACAGCCCGTGTCTCACACACAGTGTCTCACACACAGCCCGTGTCTCACACACAGTGTCTCACACACAGTCAGTGTCTCACACACAGTGTCTCACACACAGCCCGTGTCTCACACACAGTCCGTGTCTCACACACAGCCCGTGTCTCACACACAGTCAGTGTCTCACACACAGTCAGTGTCTCACACACAGCCTGTGTCTCACACAGCCTGTCTCACACACAGCCCGTGTCTCACACACAGCCCGTGTCTCACACACAGCCCGTGTCTCACACACAGCCCGTGTCTCACACACAGTCAGTGTCTCACACACAGTGTCTCACACACATTTTGTTCGCTCGCCCCACGTCGGTGATTTTCCTTCCTCTGCGCTGCGGCTTCTTCGCTGTCGGACGCGCCACACCGCTCTGTTCGGTCGCTTAAGCGTCGGCGACTGAAGAGGGAGAACTGAAAAAACGACGAAGTGACTAAGTGATCGGCGTCGTTGGAGACCTTTGCCAACGGAAGGGAGTGATCGAGGCGTTGCGTAATCACACACACACACGCATTTTGACCACAAGTATTTGTGGTTAATGCAGTCATTATTCCTTGTAAACGGTTTCAGTTTGATGTTTTAACACCTTAACACAACTGGTTTTTTTTTGCCAGAAAAAAAGACGAGTCCTTTTGAAACGACATTAGAAGAAGAAACACAAACGAAGTGAAAAGAAAAAAATATTAAGGGTCCAGCGTTGTTTGCGTTTTTAAAAGCAGAAGTTTCGTCATGCGAGTGTCAAAACGAAACACAAAACAAGGTGATGTGTTTTCTTCTGCTATTTATATATTTTTCCTGCTGTAAATGACGTTGTGTACATTATAGGGACAAAAATAATTGACACTTATAAAGTTGTGAATTGCATCCGTAGGGTCCCGCCACTAATGAGCTCCGCGTATGTAAAGCAGAAAATAGACATAGCCACTCAGCCACTCACGTACTCACTCACCCACCCATTCGTAAACCTACATATCCACCTACCCACCCACCCACTCATCTATCCATCCACCCAGTCACTCACTCACCCACCCACACCCACTTACTCACCAACTTACCTACTCACCCACCCACCTCACTCACAAATGTCATTCCGACCAAAAGACGTTGCCCACCACTTGCACCCATTAAAAAAGAAAACGGTTTCTCTACTTATCGATTTAATTAAAAAAAAATGTTAACGCCATATATTCGTTGCACGCAGTTGAACTTCATTGGGCTCAGTCTTTGTTTGCTACCAAGGTCTTGACGCCAAGGTGGCTGGCAGATGCTAACTACCTCACCTGCTATGCGGGTGTTCATGGGTTCAATCCCAACGGCTGTTGTATATTTGGAGTGCGCGTGTCTCCCTGTGGTCGCGCGGATTTGGCTCCGGGCGCTCCGGTGTTTTCCTCATTTAGAATCAACATTGTGCTTCAGAGTATTTGGCTGCTCTCAATGTCCACAAGGCACTTGGCAGAGCGATCATTTGCGATTTCCAGGTCCCTGAAAGAGGGCTACACAGCTCAGCGGGCCTTAACTGGTCAAATAAAAGTAAATCATTTTCATTGTTCTATGCTCAGGTAACCATTTTCATTCTGTAAAAATGTGCACAGACGCCGACTTCGAGGGCGATTTGTGGCACGTTTGACCCACGTGTTTTGGGCAGCGTGATGGCATAGCGGCAGCAGCGTTCGCAACTTGTCTCATGACTCTTGATTTGAAGCTTTCGTGACTGCTGGAATTATACTCTTTGGTTCTTTCGTTAAAGTCACGTGGGTGCCTCTCTATGTGTCTCTCTCTCTCTCTATGCGTGTCTCTCTCTCTCTATGTGTCTCTCTCTCTCTGTCTCTCTCCGAGCCTACATTTACATACAGTTCTCTCACTATATTTTTCCTGCCTCTGTTTCACCTGATGACGGTTGCTTGTGTTGCAATCGAAACGTCGTGATCTATTAATTTGTTTCTTTCTACGTTACTCGTCTCATGAAGTTCGCGGTTTTGGAAATCGACCGCTTGGGGGCACGGGTGCCCCTACGACTTTTGAAATCGTACTCAGCTTTGAGATCGGGTGACTGGAGTTTGCAGGCCGGGGTGTCGTGTTACCATGGCTCATGCAAACCCCTTTTTTTCCCTCTCAGCAGCGGCATTACGTGCGCCCATTTTGAGCCGGTCTGGGAAACGAACCCTCACCCGAAACCAAAAACTTGCCGGGTGGACAAATCGACGGCGCAAGCGGACGTCCGGGCGCAATTTGCGAATCGGCGCAGCATTGAGATCCGTGTTGATGAGAATGCATTGCCGCTTTCCAAGTTAAGAGTCCGCCGTCTTGATGGTCGCTTTCATTGGCGAAAGACGTCGCGTGGAGGAGAACGCACAGACCGGGTGGAGAGGTCATGGAGCCAACTCATTGAAGCATCTGCAAGACGCAATGGAGTCGGGTTGCATAACTGGCTCCGACTCCATAGATGCACTCCGTATTGCTGCTGCTCACCCAGAGCTATAAATGCCCCGATAGTGCATTGCCTTTGTGCTGTTCGCCTTTTGGCGTTTCTCTGGCCTAACACCTTGAGACTAGGCTCAAAGGAAGGCTGTCTTAAATGTGGACCAATCAGTTTCAAAGACCATGTCAATACATTATTAGAGCAATTTTTTTGTTTGCATGTGCACATCAAGCACCGTGTGTGGTTAACGCAGACAGGATTCCTTGAATACGGATTTTGTGTTTTAACATCTTAACACAGTTGTTTTATTGCCAAAAAGGGTAAAACCTATTGTTACATTGTTAGATGTACCCGTATATGGAGACCTTTCGGTACCTGTACGTAGCCAACCGTGCAAAATGTTGGAACTTGCATTGACAGTGAAACCTGGCGGATCCAAGTTCAACACCGGTGACGGTTATTCAAAACCGGTCCTGGGCCCTCCCCCTAGGTCGACTCGGCCTCAAATGAGTACAGGGTGTGGTGCGCGTAGCAAACCTTGCCAAGACTCTCTGGTGATCCAAACGTTTGGCCCTGCTAACCGGTTACAGGCGTTGTGGTTGGCCAAAGTGGACCCTGTTTAAAAAACACACCTTGATCTTTCACGACCAATATTATCCAGTAGAGATCCGTTCCGGGTTCGATGGCATCAATATAAGCGCGTTGTTAAACCCGCTACCACAAGGGAAACAAACGGTAACGTTTGTCACCTAAAATAAAAATGTGCCAATGTGTTACTAACTCCCCAGTGTGTGAGTAAACGTGGTGCTGGAATTGCAAATGAGTTTAACTCCAACACGCAACCGTTCAGTGCTGAACTAGCAAACGATTGACTACGTGACAAACTCTTCACGCGATTGGCTGTGTCGGGTCCAGTGGCACGCATTTATATTTACGCTATTCAACGGCCCACCAATGACCTCGATTAAAATGTACAAAGTGAAGCCCTCACCTGGGGCACTGTGGGGTAAAGGGTGTGGGGGACGGGGAGTGGGGATATGGTTCCCCAAGGTAGTAAAAACAACTGGGGTGTAGGCATTTTAAATTTTATTTTCTTTAAAAAAAGGCTGCAGTGTAAAGAACAAAATACTGGAAAAAATGGTTTGGAAATGTCCAAGGGAATGATTTTTTTTGCAATTCCATTTCACCCCTCGCCCCACCCGCCCCCTTTATAATAATAAAAAATAGTAATAATAAAAAAACACAACGATGGTAGAAACCGGTAAAATAACGGACCTGCTATAAAAACCACGCTACGTTTTTTACTCAATCGGGACTTATTTATTCACTACTTTCAAAATGCCGATTACGGGTAGGGGGACGTGGAAGGCGGGGGGGGGGGGGGTAAAAAGGAGTGAGGAGGGAGGGGGGGTAGGGGGAGTAAAGGGGTGGAACCGATGGCAGGGTTTGTTTTGGGGGTTTTGTTGAAAAAATTAAAACTCCACCAAATCAAATCAAAAGACGCAACATTTCTACACCAACGAAAAGAAACAACAACAACAACAACGGGGTAATGGACGAAGGGGATGGACGACGAACGCCGACTCGCCGGGGTTGGTTCGGATTTCAACAGTGTGTGTCCGTCCCGTGGTAGGGTGGTGGTGTTTGTGTGCATGTTTTTTTCTCGCAACTCCCACAACCCCTTTGGGTGTAGACCCTCAGTCTCTAGCTGATGGGGGTGGAGGAGGGAGGAAAGAAAATGGGGGGGGAGGGGCGCAAAAATGGTCCTGTTGGGGTCGTCGGCCCCCGGGATCTCTCCTGCCTGCGACCCTGTCCGCGAAGTACCGACGCTCCCAGACTCTCCACTAGTGTGGGAGCTGCCGCCGCTGCACTCCTCACCGGGCGGAGAAAGGTCGTCGCGCTCCTGTTCCCCCCCCTGTGCTGTCCCCCCCCCCGAGTCCGGGTTTCCTGCCGGTGAGGCATCACACTCGACCGCCCTGGGGCCTGCTAGCGCTTCGCCGGCACCCGAACGCGACGCTCCCCGCCCGCGCAGTCCCACGCACCAATCACACGCGGGTAACAGGGGGGTTAGAGGTCGGAGGGTAAGCGACGTCGCTCGTACCCACTCCGGCGATTGGGGGGATTGGATTAAACGGGTTTAAAGGGCTATGCGATGGGCATGCGTGCGAGATGGGTATCCGCTCGCAACGTGGGAGTCCGCAGCCGACGGTTGGTAGCGCACACAATCCACGCGGCGCCGCTCCACACACGCGGCGACCACCGCGAACAGCAAGCGCACCCACGCTTCCACTCTCTTTCCACACCCTCGCAAAAACCACACCAGTCCGTTATGTAATCGCCGACGATTTATTCCACCGGGTCGGCGAGCCCTTATTTAACCGAGTCAGTCGGGATCAGCGGGGCAGGACCAATCTATCTCTCGATAGTCGGCACTATACTCTACCTGTCCTTCTCCCCTTTACCCTCTCCGGTTTTCCTCTTAAGCTAAGTCCCAACTCCCTCTTTCTCTCTCTCTCTCTTACTCACGGTTCGTCGTCACTGCCGGCTGGTCCTCGCGGCGCGTCGATACGTCCCACGGGCGTTCGCGCGGCTGGACTCGGGAGTTGACGGGCCTGGGGTTGACTCGAGTAGCCAGAGACCTTTTCCCTTCGCCCTGACCCGCTTTATTCTTTCTACATCAAAGGGGCTACCTGGTGCCGACTCGCGGGCCAATCAGCTCGCTCGGATCACTCGCCAATCGGTAGGCCCATCTGTATCCCAGCATCCCCCGGGCCGTTGCTTTCAGCGACGTCCGCATCTAAATTTACCTGCTCAGCGGCCCTCCAGCCGGAGGGCGACCCTGCTTTCCCGCCGCTCATGGCTCCGCCCTCCCCCCTACCTGCCCTGCCGACCCGTGTGCATGAGGTGCGTACTAACCGCGGTGGCGGGGCAGCCCCGCCGTGAACATGTCATCTCTACTCAAGTCACGGCGCCACGGTGGGTGTTAGCGTCGGAGGAGACCGTCCAATTCCCTGGCCGCAGGAAACCGTGAAGATTATCCCTTTACGAGGGCTTCTGGGTAAAAACCTGTCGGCCAGGGTGTCTCCCCACGCGCTCTAATGGTGGGGGGAGTGCGTGCGTGTGTGTTTCGGTGGGAAGGGGGGTGGGGGGGGTTGTGAGGTGGAGCAATGTCGGCCTCGCCGCTCGAGGGCGGCGAGATCGCAGGTGGGCCACCCGCCGATCGGCTCCGTGGCGGCGGCATCACAGTCCCACTCCCACCCCTTCTCCCTGGAGCCGAGAGGCTTCTGACAGTCTGCAGGTGTCCCTGGGTGTTTTCAGCCAACCAAAATGTGGGGTGGGGAATCGCTGAATGAAGTTCAATATCAGATCGGACCCTCACAGTCAAAGCGTGAAAAAATAAGAGCAGGTTGTATTGTCCCTTTCTGGCAATAAACAGTCGTGTTAAGATGTTCAAACACCAAATAAAAATCTCATGCTAGGAATCGTGTCTGCATTAACCACACGCGGAACGTGTGGTGAACATGCAAACAAATCATGCTCTGATAATAATAAATGGTATTGCCTCTGAGATTGATTGGTCCACACCAGAGACAGACTTCTTTAGGGCCCAGTCTCACCACCAGTGTCAGACCAGAGAACGCTCAAAGGCGGGCAGCACTTTTGCATGTTCACCACAAGGACCCTGTGTGTGGTTGACGCAGTGACACAGTTCCTTGTAGAAGGTTTCTATTTGATGTTTTAACATCTTAACACGAATGTTTTATTGCCAGAAAGAGTTAAAACCTCTTGTTATTTTTCATATTTCAATACTGGCAAAAAAAGGTCCGATGTTGTAGCTGCTCACGCCCAGTCAAGTTTAAGATGATGTACGCCATCGGAATGCAATGGTTTGTATGCAATCACTGTATGGCGTTTAATACAAAATCTGACACAGACTCAAGTTAAAAACGAAGTAGGACATCGGAATACCGCATATACACTGAATCGCAGATATGATAAAATCGTACATTAGCATAACGTTGATGTATAAGTGTAACCTGTGTGGTTATGTACTTGTTAAATGGTGCATATGTCCGTGCTTCAGTATTATAAGAACCTCTTTATTTCCTTTCGAACATATTTTTGACAAAATGCTTAGGTGATGACCAGTACGATGGAGAGACATCACGTGGACACGATCACTGATCGATTCTGTGTGCATGTTAAGTCACCGATTCTAGAATCGGCTCGGCGTGGTGCAGAGATTTGATAAGTGAGGCGTGTGGGCGTGAAGTTGACAGCAGATTTGGTCGTTTCAGATGGTCAAACACAGCCGTAAATGCTGACTTACCCAATCAGCCACTCAACCACAAACCCACTCACTCTCCCACTCACTCGCTGACCCACTCACTCACTCATCCAGTCACTCAACCACACACCCACTTACCTATTCACTCACTCACTCACCCACTTAGTCATTCACTCACTCATCCACCCACTCAGCCACTCACCCACTCGCCACCCACTCACTCTCTCATCCACCCACTCACCCACTCACTCGCTCACATACTGACTAACTCAACCACAAACCCACTCACTCTCCCACTCACTCGCTGAACCACTCACTCACTCACCCAGTCACTCAACTACACACCCACTTACCTATTCACTCACTCTCCCACTTAGTCATTCACTCACTCATCCACCCACTCGCCACCCACTCACCCACTCACTCTCTCTCTCACCCACCCGCCCACTCACCCACTCACTCGCTCACATACTGACTCACTCACCCACTCAACCACACACTCACCCACTCACTAGGCCTGATTCACTCCAGAATCAGAGCCTTCACCACGGAGTGCCTAGAGAGAAGGCGATCCGAAGATCTGAGGGACCTCGTTAGAGAGTCAACACGGACCGGTTGCTGCAGATTATAATGACGAGTGCTGCCACGCCTAATGCTTCACTTACTTACGCTGACCATCGCGATACAGGACGGGCAAATAACCCTCGTGACTCACGCGGTCTGCTGAGGTTCTCATGCAGCAGTGACACCAATAACATGAGAGTGTTTTGGTCAGGTCACAGACTTGGTGAGGTGCAATGCCTTACATTCACATGCTCTTCATCCATATTCAAAGATATGTGCCAGCATCTATATAAGAGAGAAAGGTACATTATTATAAAGCATTGTTACATATATATGCTTGAGAATTATATATTACATCATATAGACCTGTTGTGATGGGCTTATGTTGATGACGATGATTATAATATTATTCTCTTCTTCATATGGCTCAAAAGGTGAATGTGAAATGTAATATCACACCCACTCAAGGAGGTTTACTATTCTGGAAAATCGCCAGATGATGTTGGTTGATGTAATTAGCACTATACACTACACTATACACTACACTATACACTAATATACACCAGACTACACACTACACTATACACCACACTATACACTACACCGTGATGATGATGGTTGATGTAATTACCACCATACACTACACTATACACTACTATACAAAACACTATACACTACACTATACACAATACACTACAGTATACACTACTATACACCACACTACACAATACACTACACTACTATACACCACACTATACACCACACTATACACTACACTGTGATGATGATGGTTGATGTAATTACCACTATACACTACACACTACACTATACACTACACTATACACTGCACTATACACTACACTATATACTACACTATACATTACTATAAACCACACTACATACTACACCGTGATGATGAGAGATACATGCAAACTCTAAATATACAGCAGCAGGTATCTATCATCAGGGTCTGGCATCAAACCCACGACCTCCTGCGTACCAGGCGTGGGAGTCAACATCCGCTTAGCCACTGCGACTTACCCCAGGGGAAGTGTCCATGGTGGATTCTGTGGTGAAGGAGGCCCAGCGTCACCACAAGTAGAATGAGGAGCACGACACCACCAATAAAAGCACCGGCGATAGCTCCAACAACGTCTGAGGATCGTACACATATAGTAGTGTAGTGTATAGTGTAGTGTATTGTAGTGTAGTGTATAGTAGTGTATTGTAAAGCTTTCGTGACTGCAGGGAATAATCTTCTTTGGTCCTTTCGGTAAAGTCACGTAGAATGAGAATAAAATAATAAAATAAAACAATACAATTCTCACGACGTTTCGGCCACAACACAAACGGCCTTCTTCAGGCCGCTTGTGTTGTGGCCAAAACGTCGTGAAAATTTTATAGTCTTATTTTTATTTTATTATTTTATTCTCATTCTATGTGACTTTACCGAAAGAACCAAAGAAGATAGTGTATTGTAGTGTAGTGTATAGTGTAGTGTATAGTAGTGTATAGTGTAGTGTAGCAGTGTAGTGTATAGTATAGTCTGTAGTGTAGTGTATAATGTATAGTGTAGTGGTAGTGTAGTGTGTAGTAGTGTATAGTGTAGTGTATAGTGTAGTGTAGTGTGTAGTATTGTATAGTAGTGTAGCGTATAGTAGTGTAGTGTATAGTAGTGTAGTGTATAGTGTAGTGTATAGTGTAGTGTGTAGTGTATAGTGTAGTGTATAGTGTAGTGTATAGTGTAGTGTATAGTGTAGTGTATAGCCGTGTCGTGTATAGTGTAGTGTATCTGCAATGTGTGTGTAGTGTATATTATTGTAGATATTAATAGTGTAGTGTGCAGTGTAGTGTATGGTAGTGTATTTTGTATAGTAGTGTGTATAGTGTATAGTAGTGTGGTGTATAGTAGTGCAGAGTAAGTGCATAGTAGTGTAGTGTAGTGTCTAGTAGTGCAGTGTCTAGTAGTGTAGTGTAGTTGTATAGTAGTGTAGTTGTATAGTGTAGTGTATAGTGTAGTGTATAGCGTATAGTGTAGTGTAATAAATACATAGGATTTGATTCAACAAAGTAAGTTGTAACTTAACGTGCTCTGTGCTTACTTTGTATGTTTCGATGATTCACCCAAAATGTTCTGGCCAACCCCAGGCTAAGAACCACCACTGGTGGAGTGAATTGCCACGGTGCGATTGCCATCAGTTTCTCTCTTGTGTCGCAACGAGGTCACGGGAGCCTTCGACACCTCACGTGGCCCCAAGAGTGCACCTAGCCTGGCACAGGCGCCGTGGTGACGTCACCGCCACTTAGCGGTGAGAGGCTGCTGTTGTTGTTGGTCCATCGCGAGAGATGGCAACGAATTTTGGGGGTAGGGGTATGGGTGGTTGGCCTTCACACTCAGCACTTGCAACACGAAGGTTATTTGTTGTGTCCTGCTCTAAAACCGACAAACGCAACCGAGGATCAACGCCACAAATCGCAGAAAGTGTTTGACCCTTTCTGGCAATAGAACTGGGGTTGTGTTAAGATGTTTAAACGCCAAACAAAAACATTTTGCAAAGAATCAAGTAACTGGATTACCCACACACAGTACTTGTGGTGAGCATGCAAACCAAAACATGCTCTGGTATTATACTCATTGTCTTTAAAACTGATTGGTCCACATGTTTTAACATCTTAACACACCTCCTGTTCTGACTGCCAGAAAGATTAAAACCTATTCATAGATTTTGATACTGGCAAGGGAGGTTCCATGATCCTCCAAATCGCATTGGCAAAATGTGATTTGTTACGTTGATCCTTGGACACGTGAACATCACCGATAGTTACATTCAAATGTGTAATTTTATCGAGGGTACTGTTGATGCCTTCGTGTGCTCTGGGACTGTTGTTGTCTTGGTGTGGTCTGGAACTGTTGTTGTTGTCTTGGTGTGGGACTGTTGTTGTTGTTGTCTTGGTGTGGTGTGGGACTGTCCTCTGGTCTGCACCCCTATCGTGTGTTTGTGTGCTCGTTTCTGTAACTCGCTCACCGCGTGCGCCTCACCAGGAGGTGAACAAGTGCTTCGTAGCTCCTCAGATCCCTCCTGCAAGCTCCTACACTACACTATACACTACACTATACACTACACTATACACTACACTACTACACTATACACTACACTACTACACTATACACTACTATACACTACACTATACACTACACTATACACTACACTATACACTACTATACACTACACTATACACTACACTATATACCACACTATATACTACTATACACTACACTATACACTACACTATATACTACACTATACACTACACTATATACTACACTATACACTACACTATACACCACACTATACACTACACTATACACTACACTATACACCACACTACTACACTATACACTACACTATACACTACTATACACTACATTACACTATACACTACACTATACACTACACTATACACAAATATACACTACACTATACACTACACTATACACTACACCACTATACACTACACTAATACACTGCACTCCAATACACTATACACTACACTATACACTACACTATACATTACACTTTACAATAAACTCAACAATACACTACTACACTACACTATACACTACTATACACTACACTATACACTACTATACACTACACTATACACTACTATACACTAAACTATACACTACACTATACACTAAACTGAACACGTCACTAAACTCAACACTACACTATACACTATACTATACACTAAACTATACACTACACTAAACTATACACCACACTATACACTACTCTTCTCGTCATGGTTATCGTTCACCTTTCCCACGTAGCATCTCCCAATCCCCGTGTGCGTGTCCCCTTACCCTCCCCGACCCCTCAGCGTCGATTGTGAGCGCGTTAGAGCCGCGTGGGTGCGGCGAGCGGTCGTCCGAACCTGGGGCTGGCTTCACTTCCGTGCAGGGGTCCGATGGGGCAGCCCTCTGGAAGCCGTCTTTACAGCGACAGCGAGTGTCCTGCCTGGTGGTGCATGGCCTCTCAGTGTCCTCGGCTGCAAAACAACGACACCACCACATCACCTGGGTAGTACGCTTTTGGAGCGTCTAGGCATGACGCAACGTGTGGTGACGCGGGAGCGACGCGCGGTGACACGAAGCAACGCAGACTCCTAATGTACAGCAGCAGGCATCGTCAGGGTTGAGATCGAATCCTCTACCTCCTGTATACCGAGGGAGGTAGTTAACATCTCTCTAGCCACTGTGATGATTATAAGAGAGAGAGAGAGATGCAGACTCCAAATTTGCTAGAGCAGGCATCATCAGGGTCGGGATCGAACCCACGACCTCCTGTATACCAAGCGAGGTAGTTAACATCTCCTTTCTGAATTGGCGCCCACAGTGGCGAGATTTGACTTCGTATCGCGAGCGGTGCATGAATCAGGCAAACCCCTTGATTCACCAAACCCGTCCCCTCCTTTTTGTGAACGGGTTCACGTCGTGTCTACAAACAACCACCCACCCCTCTTACAATTCACGTTGCAAACGGTGCACTTCTTGCACTCGTTGGAGCTGTTCGGTTCGTCCGTGAAGTCTTCTCCCGGCTCGCAACTCGTACAAAACGTGCCGCTCGTGTCGGATTCGCAATCCATCACCTTCCTGCTACCTGCAAGTTGGCAGCAGGGTGGGTGGGTGGGGGGAGGGAAACAGACGCACCGACTGAACGAGAAAACAAATCAAAAGGTTTTGGTGTTTGTTGTCCTTCCCCGCCTTGCTGTGTTCCAGACTCGCGAACATTTCCACTTTGGAACGGGTCTCAGGAACGAATTAGATTCGTAACCCGAGTACTGCCCGTTCACTACTGTACATTGTACACTACAGTGTAGACTACAGTATTAGTTTGAAAATTAATTTCTTTAGAACTTTTGATTATTGCTGTTCAGTTTGTTGCCCCCTCCGCCCACATTTCCAATTAGCCACGGTTGGCTACGTACGATGCGAAAGAAGTTCAACGTACACAAATACGAACTACTACACACTACACTATAGACTACACTATAGACTACACTATACACTACACTATAGACTACACTATACACTACACTACTATACACTACACTATACACTACACTATACACTACACCATACACTACACTATACACTACACTATACACTCCACTATACACTACACTATAGACTAGACTATACACTACACTATACACTACCCTACTATACACTACACTATACACTACACTATACACTACACTACTATACACTACACAAGACACTGTACACTACGCTACTATACACTACGCTACAGTAAACTACACTATACAATACACCACTATACACTACACTACTATACACTACTCTACACTACACTATACACTCCACTCCACTATAAACTACACTACTGTAATGAGAGCGCCATCGCCTGGATTATTATGGGGGCATATATTGATTCTACAGTCCATGCTTATCCATAGTGGGGTTTACATCTGTGGGAAAGATGATAAGCGGTTCCACCAGGGAAGCCTCTGGAACGTTCGGGAAGGTTCCAGGAGGGGTGTGGCCAGAGGCGTGGCTTAGTCCCGGGGGGGGGGGGGCGTGGCCAGAGGCGGGGCTTAGTCCCGGGAGGGGCGTGGCCAGAGGCGGGACACAGAGCAACGCAAGGGGTCGGTGCTGAAGACTAAAGAGGAGCCCCGCCCCTGCTGCCCCGCCATCTCCATAGACCACGTGGCTTCTCGTCGTTGAAGAAGTTCAACGTATCTACATTAAAACTTTTCGATGGTGGTATTCGAGTCAGGTTTTTCAGTCCGTGCACTTTACCTGCTTGGCAGAGCTCACAACAGATGCCACGTCTTGACAAGTAGTGCGTTGTTGCATCACATCCGCCTTTGATAACCTGCGTGGAAAAAAACAAACATTTAAGACGAGGAAAAGGTGACCCAAATTACTACTATACACTACACTATACACTACACTACAATACACTATCCTCTTTGGTTCTTTCGGTAAAGTCACGTAGAATGAGAATAAAATAATAAAATAACACAATAAAATTCTCACGACGTTTCGGCCACAACGCAAGCGGCCAGGTGTAACGAGGCCCAATTGAGCTGCTGTGTAGTGGCTCGTTTGTTCAGAAGCGACCTTGGCATCACAAATGATGATAGCAGCTCCACGAAGTGGCTGATGTCAACATCACTTAGGAATTCATATCAGCGAACAAAGACTCTGAACGCGTGGTGATGTTGATTCTAAATGTGGGAGAGAAAAACCGGAGGACACCGGAAAAAAATCCTCGCGACCACGGGGAGAGAGACGCAGATGTCAAATACACAGCAGCAGGCGTCAGGGTCTGGGATCAAACCCACGACCTCCTCCATACCTGGTGAGATAATTAACATCTCTTAGCTATCATGATGTCAGGGTCGGGATTGAACCCACGACGTCTTGCATAAACGGCGAGGTAATCAACATCTAGCCACCACGGGGACACCCCCAATTCTCAGCGTCCTCGCCCACCGTGAATTCGTCCGCCAGCAGCGGCCGCTTTGGGTGGGGACAAACCGCAGAACTCCCAGCCACACTCCGCACGCTCAGCTTCACGTTATTCGTTCTGCCATCGCCCCTGCCATCGAGTTACAGGACGAGGATCTGCAACCCGGGGGCTGAGGGGTTCCCCAAGGTCGACCCAGCCTCAAGTGAGCTACACGGTGCAGCGGTGTCTAGTAAAGCATCGCCACTGGCGGGAGACAAAGGCGGCCGGGTGTGGTGCTGGCCACCTACGCCCCCTCTGTGTGTGCCACAGTGACGGTTGCCTTGATAGGTGCTGCTACTCGCTAACGGCACTTGCCCCTGCGGTCTGTTAAGGCTTCACGGGGGGTCTTTGTCTTTGTGTGTGCATGTTACTAACCTGGAGACCAAAGTTCGATTCCCGCACATGGCCAACACTAGTGACATTGATTATCTGACCCTGACCTGGGTCACCCCTAGGTCGACTCAGCCTTAAATATGGACATCTTTGGTTTTGAAGGCTGTAAATGTCTGTGTGTGTGCGCATGTTTAAGTTTGCGCCATAGCCGAGGACACAGGAGCGACGCTCACAACAATTAGCAGAGCGCCAGGTGGATAAAATGCTGCGAGTTGGCACAGTAGGGAGTACAGCTGGTGGTGCATCTCAGTCAGCGAACCCATGGCTTTGAGATGCTGGGGTGCAATTGATGAGCCCTACAATATTCCTGGTGGCCGAACATTTTTGTTTGCGCCTTACCTCTCGTAGCCCGTTGCTGATCGTCGCACTTTCAGAGGGGAGTATCTGCAGACAACAGGAAACGTTAAAAAACAACCACTCTGAGCACGTGTCCATCAACACGTTCTCAAAATACGCCATTTAAACTAAAACTGCGTCAAGTTCAAATTAATTTTTTTTTAAAATGAGGGCCAAAAAAATACACAACGGTAAATGAGAAAGTGGTGAATCCACAGAGAGATCGATAGAGACCTATAGAGGTACTTAGAGACTCATGAACTAAACTGAACCATGTATTTGTTCAACCAAATGTAAGGCCCCCAACCATTGAGCTGCTCTAAGTTTGTTCAGCAGCGACCCCTGGCTACCGCACCCAATGATTGCAGCTCAACCAATTAGCTGATATCATCATGAGCATCATCACCGCATGGACATTTATAGCGGCAGCCAAATATTCTAAACGCGTGATGACGTTGATTCTAAATGTGGATTGAAAAAGCGGAGGACCTGGAAACAAAATCCACGCGACCACAGGGAGAGAGAAAAACTCCAAAAGACTCCAGATATACAGCAGGAGCCAGGGCTGGGATCGAACCCACGTCGTCCTGCATACCAGGCGAGGGAGTTAACATCTCCTAGCCACCGTGATGATGATGATGAGAGAGAGACGCAGACTCCAAATATACAGCAGGAGACAGGGCTGGGATCGAACCCACGTCGTCCTACATACCAGGCGAGGGAGTTAACATCTCCTAGCCACCGTGATACATAGAGACCCATAGAGATATATGGAGATCCACAGAGCCACATAGACACCCATAGTGGCATATAGAGGCCCATAGACTAAACGAAAACTTGTTTATATTTACCCGACAGGGCCTATCTTAAATGAGCGGCATAGGTACGACCGTGGCTTTTAGATCAACCACGTACATCAATCACTTTACTCATGGGTTTTTTCGGTCAAGTCACGTATGTATAAATACCATAAAATTTATTAACACACTTCTACGGGGAAGTCACCTTTACAATTCTGTCCTAAACGCATTGCACCCCTTGCTCTCTCCTACCCCTCATCCTGCCTCTGCTGCCGTGCCCCCTTGCTCTCTTCAGCCCCTCCCCCCCACCTCTACTTCTTATTTAAGGCCTCTGTTCATCCCTCCGGCCCTTTGTCTTTTTCCTTGCTTCTCTGTCCGTACTCTCCTTGCCTCTTGGTGTCCCTGTATATGTATTTCTGCTGACTTGTACTTCGTATTTGTTCACTCTGTCTCTGCTGGTATGTTCAATCCAGAGGATGAACGCGAAATTTAGCACTCTTCTGAAATTCGTGGTCCGCCAGGCAAGTGTCTAACTGTGTTGTTGGCTTGACTGGTTTTGCATCACGTAATTTTTTCTTAGGTTTGTTGAATTCTCGTCATCACATCTTCTTGTTGTATTTACCTCCGTGCAGTTTGGCGCTCTCTATGTGTTGCGTTGGTGTCGCCCTGTATGCTCCCTTGCTATTTGCTTTTTACACCTGATGAAGATCGCTTGTGTTGCGGTCGAAACGTCATGATTGATTTATTTTAATATAATTTTATGGCATTTCTACATACGTGACTTTACCGAAAAAACCAATGAGTAATTTATGCAGTCACGAAAGCTTTAATTCTTTATCCCCTCTACAGTACAGTAGTTGCAATATATTTACACACGGGGGGGGGGGGGGGGCTGATTTTGGTTGATGTTGATTGGCTGTGGCTCTGCTGTCACCCACTTAGTGGGGCTGATTTTGGTTGATGTTGATTGGCTGTGGCTCTGCTATCATCCCCTGTGTGGGATTGAGTTTGGTTGATGTTGATTGGCTGTGCCTATATCATCCACTTCGTGGGGCTGAGTTTGGTTGATGTTGATTGGCTGTGGCTCTGCTATCATCGACTTATGAGGCAGAATCTTCTGCTGGGTGGGTGCCAGGAAAGTGATATTATCACTGAGCACGCGCATCATCCGTCGGTCGAACATTCTCAGTCGAAAGAGTAACAATTGAAATCGCCATCTGTTGTGCATCATTGTGGGTGACTTATCCGATCATTCAATTGGTGAGTTTAATTTTTTTTTTTAACTTTGCCGTGGCAGAGAAACTTATTTGTTTTTTGACATAGACATCCGAGGAAAATTGGAAGAAAAAAGAGTCAAATGGTCAAAAATTCGTGGCGATTGATCAACACCAAATGCAACCTTGGAGCAAGGCAACACAAAAACAGTCCCAGACAACAACAACAGTCCCAGACCACACCAAGACAACAACAACAACAACAGTCCCAGACCACACCAAGACAACAACAGTCCCAGATCACAACAAGACAACAACATAAACAACAACAGTCCCAGACCACACCAAGACAACAACAACAGCCCCAGACCACACAAAGACAACAACAACAGCCCCAGACCACACCAAGACAACAACAACACCAGTCCCAGACCACACCAAGACATCAACAACAACAGTCCCAGACCACACCAAGACAACAACAACAGTCCCAGACACACCAAGACAACAACAACAGTCCCAGACCACACCAAGACAACAACAACAGTCCCAGATCACAACAAGACAACAACATCAACAACAACAGCCCCAGACAACACCAAGACAACAACAGTCCCAGACCACACCAAGACAACAACAACAGCCCCAGACCACACCAAGACAACAACAACAACAACAGCCCCAGACCACACCAAGACAACAACAACACCAGTCCCAGACCACACCAAGACATCAACAACAACAGTCCCAGACCACACCAAGACAACAACAACAGTCCCAGACACACCAAGACAACAACAACAACAGTCCCAGACCACACCAAGACAACAACAACAGTCCCAGATCACAACAAGACAACAACAACAACAACAGTCCCAGACCACATCAAGACAACAACACCAGCCCCAGACCACACCAAGACAACAACAACAACAACAACAACAGCCCCAGACCACACCAAGACAACAACAACACCAGTCCCAGACCACACCAAGACATCAACAACAACAGCCCCAGACCACACCAAGACCACACCAACAGTCCCAGACCACACCAAGACAACAACAACAGTCCCAGACACACCAAGACAACAACAACAGTCCCAGACCACACCAAGACAACAACAACAGTCCCAGATCACAACAAGACAACAACATCAACAACAACAGCCCCAGACCACACCAAGACAACAACAACAGTCCCAGACCACACCAAGACAACAACAACAGCCCCAGACCACACCAAGACAACAACAACAGTCCCAGACCACACCAAGACATCAACAATAACAGCCCCAGACCACACCAAGACAACACCAACAGTCCCAAACCACACCAAGACAACAACAACAGTCCCAGACACACAAAGACAACAACAACAGTCCCAGACCACACCAAGACAACAACAACACTCCCATACCACACCAGGACAACAACAACAACAACAACAGTCCCAGACCACACCAAGACAACACCAACAGTCCCAGACACACAAAGACAACAACAACAACAGCCCCAGACCACACCAAGACAACAACAACAGTCCCAGACCACACCAAGGCAACAACAACAGACCCAGACCACACCAAGACAACAACAACAACAGCCCCAGACCACACCAAGACAACAACAACAGTCCCAGACCACACCAAGACATCAACAACAACAGTCCCAGACCACACCAAGACAACAACAACACTCCCATACCACACCAAGACAACAACAACAGTCCCAGACCACACCAAGACAACACCAACAGTCCCAGACACACAAAGACAACAACAACAACAGCCCCAGACCACACCAAGACAACAACAACAACAGTCCCAGACCACACCAAGACAACAACAACAACAACAGACCCAGACCACACCAAGACAACAACAACAACAGCCCCAGGCCACACCAAGACAACAACAACAGTCCCAGACCACACCAAGATATCAACAACAACAGCCCCAGACCACACCAAGACATCAACAACAACAGCCCCAGACCACACCAAGACAACAACAACAACAACAGCCCCAGACCACACCAAGACAACAACAACACCAGTCCCAGACCACACCAAGACATCAACAACAACAGCCCCAGACCACACCAAGACCACACCAACAGTCCCAGACCACACCAAGACAACAACAACAGTCCCAGACACACCAAGACAACAACAACAGTCCCAGACCACACCAAGACAACAACAACAGTCCCAGATCACAACAAGACAACAACATCAACAACAACAGCCCCAGACCACACCAAGACAACAACAACAGTCCCAGACCACACCAAGACAACAACAACAGCCCCAGACCACACCAAGACAACAACAACAACAACAACAGTCCCAGACCACACCAAGACATTAACAACAACAGCCCCAGACCACACCAAGACAACACCAACAGTCCCAGACCACACCAAGACAACAACAACAGTCCCAGACACACAAAGACAACAACAACAGTCCCAGACCACACCAAGACAACAAAAACACTCCCATACCACACCAAGACAACAACAACAACAGTCCCAGACCACACCAAGACAACACCAACAGTCCCAGACACACAAAGATAACAACAACAACAGCCCCAGACCACACCAAGACAACAACAACAGTCCCAGACCACACCAAGACAACAACAACAACAGACCCAGACCACACCAAGACAACAACAACAACAACAGCCCCAGACCACACCAAGACAACAACAACAGTCCCAGACCACACCAAGACATCAACAACAACAGTCCCAGACCACACCAAGACAACAACAACACTCCCATACCACACCAAGACAACAACAACAGTCCCAGACCACACCAAGACAACACCAACAGTCCCAGACACACAAAGACAACAACAGCCCCAGACCACACCAAGACAACAACAACAGTCCCAGACCACACCAAGACAACAACAACAACAGACCCAGACCACACCAAGACAACAACAACAACAGCTCCAGACCACACCAAGACAACAACAACAGTCCCAGACCACACCAAGACATCAACAACAACAGCCCCAGACCACACCAAGACAACACCAACAGTCCCAGACCACACCAAGACAACAACAACAGCCCCAGACCACACCAAGACAACAACAACAGCCCCAGACCACACCAAGACAACAACAACAGACCCAGACCACACCAAGACAACAACAACAACAGCCCCAGACCATACCAAGATAACAACAACAACAACAGTCCCAGACCACACCAAGACAACAACAACAATCCCAGATCACAACAAGACAACAACATCAACAACAACAGCCCCAGATAACACCAAGACAACAACAACAATCCCAGACCACACCAAGACAACAACAACAACAGCCCCAGACCACACCAAGACAACAACAGTTCCAGACAACACCAAGACAACAACAACAGTCCCAGACCACACAAAGACAACAACAGTCCTGGACCACACCAAGACAACAACAGCCCCAGACCACATCAAGACAACAACAGTCCCAGACAACACCAAGACAACAACAACAACAACAGTCCCAGACTACACCAAGACAACAACAACAGTCCCAGACAACACCAAGACAACAACAGTCCTGGACCACACAAAGACAACAACAGTCCTGGACCTCACCAGGCGTCCTCCGGTTTGTGAAGGCGCCGTGCGTAAGTTCACTCACCAGCGTCGCAAACAATTGAAGGGCGATGAAATACGACGGAAGATTCATTTTTTACGTCCCTCGACCCGTCGTCGGTGATTTTCCTTCCTCTGCGCTGCGGTTTCTTCACGATCCTCCTCCACTCCCCGTGTGCTCGCTTAAGCGACGCCGACTAAAGAGAGAACTGAAAGAATGACGGAACTGGTTATTGATCGGCATCTTCGGAGACCTTGAAAACAATGCAGCGATCGAGTATGTTGTAAAACCAGTCAAGCTGCATTCCAGTCGTCAAGTTGATGTGAGGTTTGGCTACCGCCACCTCTTACATCATCATCACGATGGCTAGGATATATTAACTCCCTCGCTAGGTGTACAGGAGGGCGTGGGTTCCATCCCTACCCTACCCCACCCCGACAATGCCTGCTGCTGTACAGTTGGAGTCTGCGTCTCTCTCTCTCATCATCATCATCATCACGATGGCTAGGATATATTAACTCCCTCGCCTGGTCTACAGGAGGTCATGGCTTCGATCGTGACCCTGACGATGCCTGCTGTTGTATATACTGTTGTGGAGTCTGCGTTTCTCTCCCCGTGATCGCGTGGGATGTTTTATCGGGGTCCTACGGCTTCTTTCTCCACATTTACAGTCAACGTGACCACGCGTCCAGAGTATTTGTCTGCCGCTGTAAATTTCCACAACGATGATGATGATGGTGACGATGTCAGCCACTGCGTTGAGCTCCCATTCGTTGCCAGGTGGCTTTTGAAAAAAAGTTACGTAGCTCAGCTGATTCTTACCTGGTAACAATAATAATAGCTTAGTAAATCGTTTCTAGATTGTTTTAGGTCACCCTTCCCGGGTTACTGCTACCAGCGGTGTCAAGAGCGCCCTCTGTGGAGGATGCTCGTGAAGGATGCCACTGGGCAGTGCCAGCCTAGGTGCACATTGATGAAGCTACAGACACACACTCAGACACGCACAGACACACACATACACACTCAGATACACAGACACACACAGATAAAAAGACAAACACAGATACACAACAACAACCGCCATTAGCCACTAAGTGGTGGTGACGTCGCCACGACGCTTGTGCCAGGCTATGTGCACCTTGAGGCCACGTGAAGTGTCGAACGCCCGCTGGCAGGAGGTCACGGGGCAGACCCAGGTGCCACGGGTCGACTGACTGAGATGACTGGCTGATGCACCACCTGTGCCCCCTACTGTGCCAACCTGCTGTGCTTTAGCCACCCAGCGCTCCGCTCGTTGTTGTGAGCGTCGCGCCTCCACCCTCCCTTGTTGTTGGAGGGCGACTGCCTCCATCTGCCCAGTAGCGTCCTTCACGAGCCTCCTCCACAGAGGCCGATCTTGACACCGCTGGTACCAGTCATCGGCAAGTCCACTCAGCTCCACGTCCTCCTGTGCCACATAATTCCATGTCTTCTCTAGCCCGCGACGCGCACATTTAGCTCCCTCTACCTGGCCGAACAAAAGTTGTTTAGGAATGCGGTGGCTGGGCATGCGGGCTACATTACCCAACCAACGCAGCCTTGGCGGCCGGAGGAGCTCATCGATGGGACTTTGTCCAGATCTTTCAAGGATTTGTGAGCTCCTCACACAATCCAGCCTGGTTAAACCCAGGATGGATCGAAGGTAGGCCAGCCTAAATGTTTTTTAACCGGCGAAGATGCTCCAGCACATACAAAGACAAAGATCCCCCATATAGCCGGTAACAGACTGTAGGGGCAAGTGCTGTTAGCGAGCACATATACACACACACATACACAGACACACACAATCACACACACACACAGACACACGCACACAGACAGACACACACACAGACACCCAGACACACACAGACATAGGCACAGACAGACACACATACACAGACACACACAGACAGATACAGATACACATACACACACATACACACAGAGATACACAGACACACAGATGCACAGCCACAAACAGGCACAACATACACACACAGACACAAAGATATACAGACACACATATACACACAGACAAAAAAGACAAAGATACACAGACACACACAGACACACACACAGATACACAGGCACACACATACACACACAGATACAGATACACACATATGCAGACACACACAGAGACACACACACAGAGACACACACAAAGACACCCGTGTCTCACCCATGCCACTTGGATGACGACTCATCGTCTTCACCACGCTCAGCTTGGTCCAGACAGACACAGAGGCAGCCTCAGACAGACACAGAGGCAGCCTCAGACAGACACAGACACACAGACAGCCTCAGACAGACACAGACACACAGAGACAGACACAGACACACAGACAGCCTCAGACAGACACAGAGGCAGCCTCAGACAGACACAGACACACAGATACAGCCTCAGACAGACATAGACACAGCCTCGGTGTGTCTCTTAACAACCCCCCCGAGGTCACCGAGCTACCTGCTTCTGTTCGCGCGGGTCTGAAGACTTCCCTGTCCTTGAGTTTCCGTTTAACGATCGCTGCTGATTCTTATCGCTCCGTCGCGAGCCTCTAGCGGCAGGCGGTGACACGGATTTCCTTTTGTGAGAGAGAGGATGTGGAGATGATCCGAATTTTAACTCCCTTGCCTGGTATACAGGAGGTCGTGGGTTCGATAACAGACCCTGACGATGCCCGTTGTAGATGTGGGGTCTCTGTGTGTCTCATCATCATCACCATCATGGTGGTGAGATGGTAACTCCCTCGCCTGGTATACAGGAGGTCGTAGTTTTGATACAGACCCTGAAGATGCCTGCTGCTGTTGTATATTTGGAGTCTGCGTCTCTCTTCCCGTGATCGCGTGGAATTGTTCTCCGGGTCCTCCCGGTTTTCCCCTCCACATTTACAATCAACGTCACCACGGGTTCAGAGTCTTTGTCTGCCGCTGTAAGTTTCCACAACGATGATGATGACGATGTCAGCCATTGTGTTGAGCTACCAGTCGTGGCCAGGTGGCTTTTGAAAAAGAGCCACGTAGCTCAGTGGGTTCTTACCTGGTAACACAATAATAGTAGCTTAGTAAGTAGTTTATAGATTAAATGTTGACTTAAAACTTTCATGACTGCAGGAATTCATATTATTTTGTTCTTTCGGTAAAGTCAAGTAGATAGAAAATATATTAAAATAATAATAAAAAACACAAATGGAGAATTTGTTTTATTTTATTCATTACATTTTTTTTATTATTCTTTTTCTATCTACTTGACTTTACCTAAAGAACCTAGGAATAGTTTATCGATTATTTATAGTCACCCATCCCGGATGACTGGTACCAGCGGTGTCAAGAGCGCACTCTGTGGAGGAGGCTCGTGAAGGATGCCACTGGGCAGTGCCAGGCTAGGTGCACGTTGAGGAAGCTACTGGAGCAGTTGGAGGCAGTCGCCCTCTAGCAACAACAATGGAGGGCAGAGGAGCGACGCTCACAACGAGCGGAGCGCCGGGTGGAACAAACGCAGTGAGTTGGCACAGTGGGGGCACAGCTGGTGCATCGACCACTCATCTCAGTCAGTCGACCCGTGGCACCTGCTGGGTCTGCCCCGTGACCTCCTGCCAGCGGGCATTCGACACTTCACGTGGCCTCAACGTGCACATAGGCTGGCACAAGCGCCGTGGTGACGTCACCGCCACTTAGTGGCGAATGGCGGTTGTTGTGCGTCTGTGTGTGTGTTTCAACGAGAACTGTTTGGTTTGATCAATTAATGCTGTTGAATCAGAAATGATTTTGTTGGTTTTAGTAACCAGGCTGTTGGTGAGGTCTCTTCTTATTTTTGTATAGTTGCCATTGTTGAGAAGTTCCTGAATTTTGTTGTTATATTCTATTTTGTCTATGATGACAGTGGCATTGCCCTTGTCGGCTGAGAGGACGACAATGTCATCTCTCCACTCTGTCAACCAAATGTAAGGACAATTTAATTTCCAAATTCAACCGCCTTTCCAGCAAGAAATCGGACCCACACACCAAAAGCTAGACGTTAACAAAGTCGTAATTAATCGCAGTAACAGTTCTATTTCTGACGGCCTGAAATCCGTTTTAGCTAAAGGTCTAAACTTTTCAGTCACACCGAGACACATACCAGTTAATGACATCATTGCCCATGTCGACGTTGCACTCAAGGGCCCGGGTCACATCGCTGCAGATGTAGCAAGATCTGAAATCGCTGCAACCCTCAAAAACGCTAAGATGCCACCTAGCAACATCAGCAAAGATGAGCGCTTTGAATTAGCTCAATTAAAAAATAGAGATGACATTGTCGTCCTCTCAGCTGACAAGGGCAATGCCACTGTCATCATGGACAAAATAGAATATAACAACAAAATTCAGGAACTTCTCAACGATGGCAGCTATACAAAAATAAGAAGAGACCCCACCAACAGCCTGGTTACTAAAACCAACAATATAATTTCTGATTCATCAGCATTAATTGATCAAACCAAACAGTTCTCGTTGTGTATCTTTGGCCTTCCAAAGATACACAAAGAAGATACACCCCTTTGTCCCATCGTCTCCACTATCAACTCCCCCACCTACAAACTGGCTCGTTTTCTGTCTGACATCCTGCGACCTTTTACTGGAAAAACCACCTCTGCGGTACTAAACTCTACTCACCTGGTATCGACAATCAAGGGTATTTCACTGTCCCCAGACGACCTGCTTGTCAGTTTTGATGTGGTTTCCTTATTCACCAAAGTTCCGGTACCTGACACCATCACAATCATTGAAGACTTGGTTCATCAAGGACTGCATACTGATGTACCCCCCCTGGTGAGACATTGCTTAACCAACACATACTTCACCTGTAATGGAACTTTCTACAAACAGACTGAGGGCACCCCAATGGGGGCCCCCCTGTCTCCGGTTGTAGCCAACGTATTCATGGAAAAATTTGAAACTGACACCATCCAGACTGCCGCTCTACGCCCGACCTTATGGAAGAGGTACGTGGATGACACTTTTGTCATCTGGCCACATGGCCAGCCTGCTCTAGACCAATTCCTCGACCACATCAATTCCATACACCCAGCCATCAGATTTACCATGGAGGTCGAAAAAGATGGCAAGCTACCCCTTTTGGATGTCTTAATTAAAAGGAGACCTGATGGTTCAATGAGCCACTCTGTCTACAGGAAAGCTACCCATACAGATGCTTACTTGAAACCGGATTCCCACCACCATCCATCCCAGAAGAACTCCCTCATCAAGACTCTATACCATAGAGCCCAATGCATTTCCGACCAGGAACACATTGCCAGTGAACTCAAGCACGTACACCAGGCTCTCAGGGCTA